TGAGTTTCTAATTATACTTACTGCATTTGTAGCTAGAAACACAACAATAGTAACTACTGTAAGATACCTTCGCTATATGATATTTTTACAAAGGAATATGGTTTTGTTTAATGCATTCGTGGCAGTCTGTCAGTATTTCAAATCCCTATTATCGGTCACCCTAGACCGATAGACCGCAAAATAAGATACTAAAAACCCTGATTAAGTACAGGTGAATGACAGCTCGTAATGACGCGAAGCGCCATAATAGTGCTTATCGGTTGCAATCGCGTGCGCATGTTTTGCATTCGACTATAAAATGATACGTAGCCTATTTGGGGGGCAATTCTCGCTTCTCTTAGCCATCTTGATCATATGCTAAAAGTTTATAGGGATTACGAGTTGAAGACAACCGGTTTGTTTTAACTATTGACTTTTAAAAACACTACATACCTTAATATAAATTGTGTAAGGCTTTCACGGTCATCGTTCAGCATATCATTGTCGGCCGAACAGCCCGAAAGACAATGATATACCTTAATATAATTTTTAACGGGCTTTATTGGCCTAAAATAAATGGATAACAAGCAAACCCCAAGGTGAATCCAAAATTCCGTCCGTGTCATGAACCACCATCCACAGATGTAAAAGCCATGATCCTATATGTCTTCATCCTATACTTGTGTATCGTTTTTTTGTGGTCAGTATCAGGTGGATCGATATACCATAGTTCGCGGCCATTTTTATTCAAATTTGCCAAAGCACACTTCTGAATCGCGTTGCCTAGCGTTGCGTTAAGTCTTAGCGATCCCGGGAATATTATTAAATATATCGGTTGTTAAATTAATGTGTAATGCCGATTCGTAGGGGCACTCGCCGCGTCACAATGCCTGTCATTCACCTCGCGTCGCGAATATTGATTTTCCATTATCACTGCCGTTTGAATCATTCGGTAATAAAACAATTAATGAATGAAAGCTTTAAGTAGCCAATGCGTGTGTATCTATTTACATACAAACAACACGATTTTAATAAGAAATAATTTAACGTCTAAGATAATAAAATAACGATTTGTATTTTAAGATAAAGGAGTACAGACATGTATGAAGTAAACTTCATGGTAGATGAGATACCCCGGACACATAAAGTCACAAAATTGTTGATTATTATTAGCCATACATTGCCGTGATACCATTGAGCTCGTCATAGTTATTACATTCCACGTTTTAATTAAAGATACCAATTAATGGTTACATTCGTGAGTACACCTCAAACGACTTATACCGGCACAAAAGGAAACCGTCGAAGACAATTTTCGGCCCGATCGGGCAGCGGGCAGGTTAATCACCCCCGCGCGGTCGCTTCCGCGGTGACTCATCGCGGATCGCCTGCGCATCAGAATCGACGGCATTCCTGTGCTGTCCTGTGCGTCGACTTTGAAAATACTAATCACTATCTTGTACAAGCGTCATACTATCGTAATAAAGAATTTTTTAAGTTTTAAAATAACCTTCCTATAAAATATAATACTTTCTCGATAGTATAAAACATAGTCGCTTTTGCTGTCCCTATGTACGCTTAAATCTTTAACACTACGCAACGGATTTTGATGCGTTTTTTTTTATAGATAGGGCGATTCAAGAGTAAGGTTTTTATATACAACGTTCACAGATTGTCTGTAGTTTATTTAATATTAGTATTGCAGACGAGCAAAGCCGGGCGGGTCGCTAATTCTATATTATATGATTGTCGATCAACGTGGGGACGATGTTTTTTATATGATAGAGGATAACAGGCATGCATGGGGATCACCTGATGGAAGATGAAATATCCCAGCCATATTAACATCTAAACAAGATGCGCCGTCACACTTTTTGGCTATATTATTCTATGTATTTTAGTGATAAGGACAGTTAGACCTTATAGCTAGTTTGAAATTTAAAATAGGACCAAAAGACCAATGTAATAAAAAATAAGTTTTAACTAAAATATATCGCGTTTTAAACCGTTAAAGTGTTTTATTTATACGAATTATTGTTCTAAGCCGGCTATATACTTTTCATAGTAATAGTGACATACAAAACGACAACTTGGCGATTGTCTTCCAATCTATTATGGTACCAAACACATTAGTAGCACAAAACGTCTATCATGATGCAAAAGGGAGAAAGCGTTTCTCCGTCTCCCTCCACAGGTGCAGCATGGGCTGATGACATTGGTTAACTGTGCACTGTCTTGGCAGAGCGCCATGTCATAACAACGGGCTTGGGAAACTATACAAATTATATAGTTGCGTGAGGATAGATAGATAGTAGATAACACACTGTTTTATATACGCTTCATTTTAATAATAATAGGGAACCGGTATCCCCTACTGACGGAATTGCTCCCTAAGTCAATAAATTCACAATGTATTAGTTTATAAGACATGTTAAAAAAAGCCGGACTGAGTTTCTTGGGTGTTCTTCTCATTCATGTTGCTCTTTTGAACACTCTGTAGACGACGATTAAACAGACAATAAAAAAAATTTACGAAACTAAATAATTTTTTTTTAATTTTAAAGAGAATAAAGTACATTTTATTTTTAGTAGTTTTATTGATCGATCACCAGAACCAGACCGAAACACTACAAACGTGACCCCAAGATTTATATCCAGCCAACTTTTAAAGAATCCTTTGAACTTAAGGATTTCACTCTATAAACATAATAGAAAACTTAATACTAATAGTGGTTATAGACTAGCTATAAATAATCAAATTTGGTTTAAAACATTGTCGATAATTAAATATGCCTATGAACAAGCAACTATCAACGGGGTATTTTAATCAATACCGAATAACAGGCGACAGAGTAACCTTAGCTTATCTAGCGTAGCAGGCTAATTAATATTATTAATTATTACGTACAACACGCCCCTTAAACTATATTCGGTGACGTCATCGTTTTATAATTAAACTACATACATGAAGATTATATTATTACACGATATTTTGAATGTAACTACAAATATTGTCAAAAGTTTACGAGAGTAGTAAGCATTTAAATAAACTTTAATGTCTCCCCGTGACCACGGCTACTACAAAGCATCCGAAACGACTAGCCGTAGTAATAAATATTTGTAAACAAATTTAAGTATTGTAAAGTATTTAATAATAACTTCAGTCAAAATTTAATTGTCCGCCCTTGTTGTAGTATTAACACGTATGTATTAAGTATTGTAGTAAGAACAAATAGTCAATAATACAAGACAAATAATACAAGGGAGTGTCGTCATAAATTCGCCCTAACCAAAGGGTTAAAATTGATAAATAATATTTCTATGAATTAAACGTCGATAATAAATTGTAAAAATTTACGTCTCGATAGCTACCGAGTCAATTCGTTACAGCAACAGCACGGAAGGTTGACGATGCCGGTTCAAGTCCTTCTCGAGTCGTAAATTTATTCAAGTTATTATCGATTTTTAATTCATATAAAAATATTAAAGTTTTTTATTATTTCTTATATAATCGAACATTGCTATTGAATACAGACGATTTCTAACATTGATTCGTATCATTTGAACATAAGTCTGTACGCTGAATGAAGACAATATCAGAAGCAATAACTCTACAGGCTCAGGTGCGCCAATTTAATGAGATATCCAATAATTGTATATTGGGAAAGCAATGAAATGTTTTACTTGAATTTATTTACTTTCTGAATACGTGTTTAATTTAATATTTATATTTATGTAGGTTGTAGTTGCGAACCAATTGATCAAGGACAAGATAAATAAAATAATAAAAACAACGAAACGAAAAGGACACGGTAGCTCAATTGGTTAGAATAGCAGCACAGAGCGATATGGGTGGCGGTTCGAGGCCCACCCGTGTCTTTTTTTTAAATCTAAAAGCATTTTTTATTTGAATTAAATTGTAATCTAGGTCAAATCTAGATTGAAAACAGCCTACCTAGACGAGAATTCTTTAAATTGATTTCAGCACGTATAGAAAGTGTCACATTTTTATCGCGAAACAGACGGACAAGTCATGGCTGGCGGTCCAGTGGCTTTCCACGCCCTTACATGGCGTGGACAGGTTTGGCGAATACAATAAATACTTTTTGCGGCGTAACCCAGATCTTTGATCCTCAAACATGGAGATTGATGCGGCAAGTTCATAAGTACCTGGTATATTTTTTAGGTCTATCGCCGAGGTGGTAATATACTATACATATTAAGTTTGTTACAATCTATAAAACGTAAAATAATTAGTTATAACCAGTATTAACATAATCACTAACAACTAACCAAGCTGTATTGTAGTGTGTTACAGTGGTTAATTAAGACGAGACACCCCAAAACCTTATTCACACACACCATAATATTAAGTCACCGATGCGTTACATCAGACGGTACCACTCGGTTCATTGGCGACACACGAGGAAATTCGATACCTCCCTGCTGCGTGCGTAGAATGAGCCACTTGCCGACAAATATCGCTGCGATTTTTGCTTATTAGGATAAAATTTTTATAATTATAAACTTATTTTATAAATTTTATTGGTCTTGGTTTAATCTCACATATTATACAGTCCAACAGATTGGTCGAGTAACTTGAGAATTTTCTTTTAAACAGTTGAATGAGTTTTATTTGATGAAATAAAACTTTTACTGTTATAGTTTACGCAGTAGTACACATTTAAATACCACAGCTGCTGCAAAGATTCAAATGAATTAAAAATATTTTTCAAATAAGTATAATAATATATCCCAACAGTTAAAGTGATTTATTGAAATAAAACAATTTTTTACATTGGACATCGAGTCTGGTAACATCTACGGAGCTGCGCTTTGGACAGTTTCATTATTTTTATCTTTATCTTTTGACATATTTATATTTGACACGCTTGTCGATGCTTTTTGCTAAGTGTAGCACATAATATGCACATGAAAAGATTTCGCAATATCGCAGCGATAGGGTCAATTAAATGTATAGTTAATTTCGAAACGGCCGTAATACTGAACAAAGGTCATATTTATTGAGTCAGCTTTAGTGTAAATTTGCACAGGATGCACATAAACATTACCAATCGGCCTGCGGGGGTTACGTAAGCAGATTTTAACTTATAAATAGTAAGAGTTTCACGTGAACGTGGATTTTGCACGAACCATCCATTAGCCTGTCTAGACAAAATAATATCGATGTGATCTGGGTATCGCTTGTTCAACGCCGTAGAAGGGTGCTCACCTTCTTCTGTTATAAAAGGTTTATTTGATTTAGCCTGGTAATAGTCAACATTGGGGTATTTATTACTGGTTATGGTGCCGCTAGTTGCACAGTCCCTTCAGGGACGTTTTGTTCTAGATGAAAATGAATGTTAATCAAGAGTTAATTTTGCAAGTATCGTAAAAATCACCATATGCCGTTGTGTGGCAATAAGATGACTTTATTTTTAGACAAACACTTAAATTTTTTAATAATAGGAAATCAATTTTAATCCTCAATACATATCCGCTTCGGTATTTATTAACATCAGATAAAAGCCAGAATACTACAAATGGCACTCATCTGTGTCCAAAAGCAATGAAGCATGGGAACTTTCTGCTTGAAAACAGATCTTACTCAATACAAGATATAGGGCAACACTTTCAATAGAATTAATATAATGTAATTGGGTCATTGGAAATGGCTAAGAAGCAGTCTATTAGATAAACTACTTGTTGATGTAGACACAAATCTCTTTTAAAATGGTGGAATATAATAGAGAATGTGTTTCTTACTTTTTCCAGTAGATATATCCTCATAAATATTAAGAACATGACTTACTGTTATTCACTGAGACACCATTTTATAAAAATATATTATCATAGACAAACGTAAAACACATAAACAAACACAGCATTGAGACAGTCAATTCCATAGACAAATACAATGTAGCAGTAAAGCTTAAAATAAGTGAGTTGTATTCCATGATTATTGCTCCCAACTTAAAACAAAAGAGGTATTATCAAAAAAAAAAGAACATAGTGGTTTTAGTCAAACAACAAAAAATTTGCATTAAAATGAAATCATTAATATATTATATTGAACAATTCTGTTTTCCTTATGTGGGGCGTGAGACAGTCACATGTATGTTTTTCTATTATAATTTTTAAGACAAGTAGTTAACCAGACCCCTCTGCCTAGCTGGGAGTTGAACACAGGATATATAACGCTACATACTCTGCTAGGAAATACATAAAAAATTAAACTAATGTGCTACATATCAAATAAATGTGTTTGATTTGAGTTTTAATTAACATTCAAATCAATTATTTGTTTTTCTATTAAAAGTATCAGTGGCTAAAAAATAATTATAGAATGTGACTGACCAAGTTCTTTAAGGAAAAATATAAGTTATACTAACATTATGTAACAAGTGGGTACCTACTTGCTCAATGTTATAATTACTCTTATTAGGAAATGCCAGAATTGTGTACCAACCGCAACAATAGGTAAAATCTGTTTTGAAACTTAATATCATTTTTAGTTTATGTCATCGTTGTTGCAAAGTACTTACCATTAAAGTCTAAATTTATCTTGGGATTTCATTCAATAAAAAACAAAAAAATTATTTTAATCTTGTTGTTTTATACAGTTAATTTGACAATTTGAAATCTTATTAGAAACTTGTCTCTTTTTATGTCATATATATGTTATAAACACAGAAAAAATATAATATTCAAACATTATAGTTAGAACTGTGTGATATTATTTAAAAAACACTTATTAAATTGTAAAGAATTGTTTGACAACATCTGTTCATTAGCTTGCTACTTAATAAATGAATAAATTATGATAAAAACAAACTTCAAGTATAACACTCATTCTTTATATTAGAGTGATTAAATATATTTCCACATAAAGGCCTTTAAAATAATAGAATAAAACTAATTAGAACAGTCTTAATAACAGAATGCAATAGTAGTTAGTTCCACAAGCTTGCAATCGCAAAGTAGGTGATGATTAATTTAATATTTTTAGTTTCACGGCTTAGCGGATGCTTTCTACTCTCATCACGAAAATAGGCATATTTCTTATCATTTATATATATATATATATGAAACCAAAGTTCATGGAGGTAATAGGAAAAAAAAATTGGGTTCAAATTAAAAGATGCATAATATTTGTATCAGTAACAAATATTTTGTAAGCAATAATCAAGGAATATCTTCTTTTAGTGATCTATATTTAATTATAACTTGGAAGAATGATTGTTCAATGTTCAGTAAACAGATGTTTCGATGGTTGTTTCCAGTCATATCACCAAATATTTTTAAATGGACTTACCTTAAAGATGGGACGAGGATGTCTGGGTTGAGTCGGTGCAGCGGCGGTCGTCGTAGCAGGGGCTGCTGACGACGTCACATGGTCTGCCGGTAAGGATTCGGGCACAGTCTGCAACGTCGGTCGCATCGTTGTCGACATCTTGAGAGATAACTTTACACCACTACGCCAACTTCACTGCGCGCATCCTCTAGAGCCGCACACTCAACTCCCTCGGCTGTCCCTAAGCCCGAGGCTTTAACACTTTACAGAAATGACACAACTACGCCCATCTAACCGCATCTTATTCGCAAAAATACATAACGATCTATTAAAGGAGAGAAAAATATTTACTTCACTTTCACGTAATATGTTATCGTACGTCGAGATTGAAAACGGAAATAGACACGCAAAAAACTATTAGAAAGCTTTCGGTACCGTCTGCTATCACATAAACACTAGCGAAGAATTCGGCGTTTCGGATAGTATACACCCACAGTTCTCGCTTTCTATAACGCGAACGACCTAAACTATTTTTACGAAGTTGAATAGCAACGCGATGTAGTTAAATTTAATTATAAATTATCTAATGATATTTACACAACTCGACGAAAAATCAGCATATTCTTGAAATCACTCTCAAGATGGCGGATTCTACCTACTCGTAAATGGGCACAAGGCTGACACGAAAACATCAACCGGCTCTCTATCAATCTCTTTCTTTTAATAGTGAATGAAATGAGATAGTCATATAATGTGTGAAGAACTTCAACTGACTTTAACAGAATAAAAAAATACGTCGTGGATAGTCATAGGATACGTCATAGTTCAAAATTCTGCCAATGAACGGCACAAATTGGGCTGTGGCCTGTGAGCATGCGTATTTCAAGCCACATCTAGATACCGTAAAAAGGAATATACGGTCTAGTTATTCATCCATGAATTTTTTTTGAAGATTTTAACCTTATATAAAAATGAGTTTAAGTTTTATATATATCAAAAAAATAAGTCTTTCCGTATTTTCTGTTTTAATTTTTAATTTATAATTTTGTTACTATGGTCACACTTACCTTTTTAACATGGCCACACTTAAAAACTGGACGGCTTTTCTTAGAACAACATGGCAATAATTCTATACGCCATTTTATTAAAAATGGCTCCCTTGTTGTTGGCGACTGTTGGGTGCTTGTTTAGCAAATAATGTCTGTTTCTTTGCTATGATTTCATGTATTTTTTCGTGTTATTATTGTGTTTGCTTAATGATTCGATACTTGGTAAGTTTATCTTTAATTGTGAAATGTAAAAATATAAAAACACATTGTCATAGTTATATGCAACGTGAACTACAATGTATAATAGTAAGTCGTGTTATTTACTTTAAAATCAGTGATAGTTTTTAGGAAATTATCATCATGTTTGCTTACTCCTAACTGGGGATACATATTACTCTCAAATATCATCACATACCATATGACCTCACGGGATACGACGAACAATAAAAGTTCTTGAAATCGTAACGTAATGCGGCGTTATTTCCGTAAATTTGGAGGTTTCTTTGAGTTCATGATCAATATCTTTGCATCTATTTATCTTAATTTAAACATGTGATATACGAAGTGTTGTTTACATTGTCATTTGTACATAGGTCAATAACCTTAATAATTTACTTTATGAATGAATGACATAAACACAGTTTTGTGTCTTACAATATTTACAGCATAACTTATTATACGCATTTATAAGGATAAAGTAAAAGGAAACGTGGGATTTTTTTGTTTACTTGAGTTCAATTAACCGCCACTGGCCAAGAACTGATCCTATGTTGAATTTTCAAAATAACAAAGCTTAAACTAAAATTATATAGTATCTTTAGAATTTAAGTTAATATAAATATATGTTATTATTATGTGGGAGTGACAATAATCTGTTAATCATTCAAGATTTTACTGTTTGTAGTAGAGAAAGTTTTTGTGATTGACATGTTTTTTTGTTTTCCTTTACAGACCTTAAACTATCAGCATCAGTTGCACACTCAGCATTTAACCTAATGATTGACCCATCCCACCATTAGATATTATTTACGTTAGGTTTTTATGAACAAAACCAAGATGTGGCCAGCATCGCAATACTCGCACACAAACAATCAAAGCCAAATCAATTCTAAAGGCAATGAGCACCAAAATCAACAGAACTTGAAGACTTTGGGAATGACCTCTGCTATTTCTATGGCAGGTATGTGTAAAATCTGGTTTCTTAAAGGTTGAAAGGCCTTAACTACCCTGAAAAATGAGTGATGTAGCTCGACTTGCATATATTAAGTATATTAATCTTATTTTAGGGCCAAAGCCAATAGATATAGAAAAAACAAATGAATTAAAGGATTCTTTAATACCTTATGGAGTGTTTGAATCAGAAGGTGAGATGCATCATCGCATGGAAGTATTGGGAGCACTGCATAGACTAGTTCGGCAATGGATAAGAGATGAATCACTCAGAAAAAATATGCCCCCAAGTGTCGCTGATACAGTAGGCGGGAATATTTATACTTTTGGATCCTATAGGCTTGGTGTAAGTATTATTTTTAGAGCCTTTTTTTACATTTACAGCCAATATAGTGAAATTATATTTTACCAGCTGTGCGGTTCATCTGCATAGTATAGTTATCCTTATCTATTTATTTTTTTATGCACGCAATTTAGTTTGTAAATATCTTATAATGCAATTTGAATTCGAAAAACAATTTTCAAATGTCCCCTTCATATTTATAAATATAAGCTGTTATCCACGACGTTGGTGGCGTCCCTTCGTTATTGCAAGTTAATCTTAAAGGAGAGTCATATTAAACTAAGGAATTTCACACATTTTTTTTGGGTATCTTGAACCGTTTTCGCAGCGTACGCAACGGAAACCAACAAAGATGAATAATTTTTCCCGTCTTACTATCACGATTTCCGTTGTTTCTCGTATATATTAGTCGTAGCATGATGTTTTAATCCTCGTCAAATGCTCGAACCAACACAAAAAAAAAATTCAATTCGAACCAGTAGTTCTTAAGATTATCGCGTTCAAACAAACAAGCTCTTCAGCTTTATATATCAGTAGAGATTTTACAAGAAATTCCCAAATTCCAGGTCCACCATAGAGGTGCTGATATTGATGCGTTATGTGTAGCACCAAGACATATAGACAGGGCAGACTACTTTCAATCGTTTTATGAACTACTCAAGCAACAACCACAGGTAAGCACTTTGTCACTTCTTCTAAACATATTTTAGATTATTACTTGTACTGTATTTGTAAAAAAATCTAATTTCTTTAGGTAAAAGATTTGCGGGCTGTGGAAGATGCATTTGTACCTGTGATAAAAATGAACTTTGATGGTATAGAGATTGATTTGTTGTTCGCAAGACTCGCTCTTAAGGAAATACCTGGTTTGTATCATTCTTATTACAACTAAAGCAATAATTAAACATTTATATGATAAAGTTTTAATTCTTAGATTTTTCTTTTTAGACTCATTTGACTTACGCGACGATATATTATTAAAGAATTTAGATCAGAAATGTGTGAGGTCTCTTAATGGTTGTAGAGTGACGGATGAGATCTTGCGACTTGTACCTAACATCAATAACTTTAGACTGACACTAAGAGCCATCAAACTTTGGGCGAAACGTGAGTATGAATTTATTATTAAATTTGAAGAAAGAAAACCTAAATATGAGTGTACTAGTAGTGGTTATAGAACTGGGGTTTATAGCTCAATGGTTAAGTGCTTTGACTAGGTTGCACTAAGCAGAAGAGATTGGTTTCAATCCCAGGAAAACAATAATTTTATTTGTATTAATCCCAGAGAAATGGACATTAACCTTATAGGACTGGATTAATTCACCTTCCATCAAAAGAACTCTATGTTTATTTGTGTTGCTGTCATAAAAAATTGCATGTTTTCCTTGTGTGAATATCAGTGTTATTTTACTTAAAAGGGTATAATAATATAGTTCATTATTGTTACAGTAATGTAATTATGTAAAGTTTTTAGAAGAGAGTCTTTATTCAACTAAAAAACCCCTTATACATTTTCCAGGTCATGGTATCTACTCAAATACCCTGGGTTACCTGGGAGGAGTGTCATGGGCTATGTTGGTTGCGAGGACATGCCAATTGTATCCAAATGCACTACCAGCTACTTTGGTGCACAAGTTTTTCCTTGTATTCAGCCAGTGGAAGTGGCCGCAGCCAGTTCTGCTGAAACAGCCAGATTCTGTTAATCTTGGTTTTCCTGTGTGGGATCCCCGGGTAAGTTGAACGATTCCAAATGATATAATCAATTACAGGATCTCTACTAATATTGTAGTACTTAAATTTATTCATCATTAGGCAATACGTAATTATAATACAACAAATATCTTTGTTATCAGGTTAACATGTCAGATCGTTTCCACCTCATGCCTATTATAACACCAGCATATCCTCAACAAAACTCAACATTCAACGTGTCTGCTTCTACTAGAACAGTCATCATGGAGGAATTTAGACTTGGTATGTTATTAGATTTTATAAGACAGTATAAAAGTTAAAGAAAATAAATGTGGCTTACTAATTGCATACATTTTTTAATTAAAGGTTTAGCCATAACAGACGAAATCATGCTCGGTAAATGCGGATGGGAGCGACTATTTGAAGCCCCAAACTTCTTCTCGCGGTACAAACACTTTATAGTCCTTCTGGCTTCGTCTGGTAGTGGTGACGATCAGCTACAGTGGTGTGGTCTGATTGAAAGTAAAATCAGGCATCTTATAAGTAAGTATAATTTGAGTTTGAGGCCACTAGAGGCAGAGTAGCCTAACTGCAATTTTTATGACTTGATTATTTATATTTTGATAGTCTTTGTTAATCTACAAGAGCACAGTGACCAAAAATTGTTAACATAATTCTTACACAAAATAATAGTACTAATTCATTTTCGTCTAAGTTAAATACGAATTGAAGATCATGTTTTTTGTTAGGCCACTCTGCCTCCAGCAGCCTCATTTCTAAGTTCAGGTTAAAATAAATAGGAACTTATCATAATTTTTTGACTTTACAGCTACATTGGAAAGAAACCAGCATATAACTATAGCTCATGTGAATCCAGAGTGCTATAACTCTGTGCCTCTCAACACCAACAATGGACAGCCCCTAGCTCTACCGCCGGGTGAGTAGTGATTGTACATTTGACATAAAATGAAATTATTTGGCTTGTAGACAAAGAGTTCTCTATAGTGTATTTTTTCTAACTTGGCAAAAAAACACCACAAATATGGCCGATCTCAAACCATAGAGAACTAGTGATGACCTTTTATAGAGCAAAGTCCTTAATACTTTTAGTTAGACATATATACACTTTTTTATATGAGAATAGAGTTATGTTTTTAACTTTGGTCTAATGGTAGCAATTATTGGCTATTTTATATATTTTCGATTAGGTATAATTCAATTTCTGTTTTTTGGCGTGAAATCTTATTGAAATTTCAGGAACTCCAGTGGCCCCAAACATTGATATGGAAGTGAAGAAAAATGAAAATGTTAGTATCTATAGTTTCACATTGTATACTAATATTATAAAGCTGATGAGTTTGTTTGAACACAGTAATCTCGGGAACTACTGGTTTGATTTGAAAACTTCTTTTTTTTTGTATTGTTTTGAGCATTTATCGAGGAACGGTTTAGGCTATAAAACATCACGCGACGACAATAGGAGCAAAGAGCAGAAAAAATCTGTTTAAGATACCCAAATAATATGTATGATAGAATGATTCCTCTTTAAATAATCTAAAAAATGTTCTAGTATATGTCTATTTTTTAAAGATTTACTTGCAAGAACGACAAGACACGACCGACGTCATCGGTAACAGCTATAATTGATAAAGATGAAGTTTGCAAAAACACACTTTGATGCCTAAAATAACTATTCTACGCGGACTAAGTCGCTGGCACAGCTAGTTTTATTATATAATCATCCATTTGTTTTAGGGTGAGGTGATGCCTAATCTCTGCTCCATGTGGTTCATTGGTCTCGTATTTGATAAGACAAATGTCAACATTGACTTAACGCATGACATTTTATCGTTCACCAAAGTAGTGCACTATCAAGCCGAAATTACAAATATGCTTAGAGAAGGCATGACTATTGAGGTAAGTTATTTTCTGCTGTAAAATACTAGTATAACAAACACACAAATTTGGGTTCCAGTAGTATCCCATTTCCGTACTTGTATTTAATTGTTGAGGCCTTATAAGCGGAGGATATAAGATATATTTAAACATTTTGGACTTCGTCTAGAAATCTGGATACAAATTTTTCAAGTCCCCACACACAGATGGAAAACCTAAAAAAAAATATTTTGTTCAATTCAAGGCCCGTCACGTCAGACGCAAACAGCTGCATCAATATTTGTCGCCGTCCTTGATAAAGCGAGAAAGAACTACGTCAGGGGCGAAGCGTAAGCAAGACAGCAGCAATCAGCCCGCGCCACTCAAAAAGACAAAACGACTATCTGAGAGCAGTGTGAGTACTTCATGCTTTTAGGGGGGGGCGTCGAGTCTTTGATATTACCATACCTTTAAAAAGGTACCTAAAAAATAGTCAAATAAAAGGCTGTTATCCATTTTAGTGACGAAATACACAGAGGTTATTTTAAAGAACACTTCAATTATTAAAGGATTTCAAACCACAGACTCGACAACGAATTGTAGGACAATTTCTAGAGACTTGTTGTCCACTCAATAGTTCAATTTGAACTTATTCATACCATATTGCAGTCGCCTGGACTAATGACAATTCCAACATATTTATTTTGTAGTTATTGCAATCGCAAAATGTTTTTCTGTGTCAAATTCGACTCTACAGCAAATGCAAGGCCTATAAACAGACAAAATTGTACACTATGCATTTACATTACTTGATGTCATGCTCATTGGTTTACAGACAGATGAAGTCAGCCTGCTATCTTACAATGAGGATTCCAACTCCTCAAATGTATATGAGGTGAACATCCAAAATGGAAACGCAGCAAATCATTCACATGAGGAAAGGAAGACAGCGGAGAAACCCCTCGGACCACCAGAGCACCCACCGTCTACGTCAAACACCATCGCCTGCACGTAGCAGTATGAAGAGTGGCGGAAGAGGTTCATATATGGCCCGAACAACGCCAATAGCCGTATGAGACGTTTTTAAATGAAACTCTGTGAATAAGTGTTTAGTGAAAAGACCCCAACGGGAATCTCTAGTAATTTAAAGTGATGTGACTGCTAATTGCAAATATATCAATGGATGACAAAAATGTTATGTGGTAAGTTTAGATAGTGGGCATTCTGTGACTAACAGGACTATTTAATATCCTTAACTAGATTAGGAACAGTAATCCTACGCTTTAGTGGTTTAATTAAACAATTTTCATCAACAAACTCTGAATAAAGTTAATTCTAAGAATATCACATAAATTAATTAACGGTTACCTGGGTTATGTTATTGGGTCTTTGTATTTCAGGTGAGGCGATTTGACGCGACATCCACTCACGTAAGTTGTTACACAGACTATATTTCAGACTAGGATTAGGTATGGCGGTATTGTTAATTTTCGATATAATTGGACTAGAGGTTCTCTAGACCGCGTACAACTAGTATTGGTTCTCAATTTGTTATAATATAATACAGACAGAAATTACTACTACAGTTTTATATTATTATTTCAATTAACAATGGTGCCATATGTCTAGAACAAGGCACTGAGATTTATAGTCTAGTAAGTTCTGATTACAAAATACTGGCATCAGATGTTTAGGTGGACATTTTGTGCTCATAATATTAAATCAATTGCCAACAAATAGATACAGACAAATAAAGAACATCTTAAATGAAGTTGAAATTGATTTCAATTTGTTTTTTAAAATTAATTGATGTTTAGTGAAGAGGAAGGGGGTCCTCTAGGTGTCATTTATCCCCAAACAGATTGTGTTAACACTTAACGTATACATTAATTTTTTTAAATTTCTTACGTCCTTGGCCGGAGTACAACTTATGCAAGACATTGATTATTAATAATTAATGCTAAGATCACTTTTGAACAGCCTTATATTGTTATTGTCTTCACTCACATGTAAATAATCATTAGCTGTTCTTTTCACTTGTTTCTTTGCAATAGTCCACAGATTTGTGGACTTTTGTAAAATTATCATCAGCAACTTTGACAAAATTATAATTTGTTTACTGAATTAACAAAACTACACAACGTTAGAGACAAGAGTGGGTTCGGTAAGTTTTCCTAGGTTTGGTAAGGTAACTTACCAAACCCAGAGTTGTCACTTAGGTTATAACTTACTAGGCTTTTGGTGATTTGAATTTCAACAAGAAAAAATTGTTGCTCCATAATAAACAACGATCATTTCTAAATGTATGTAGTTTGTTGAAACCAATATGACTATCTTTTGAGACTTCTACTTTCACTGAAATAAACTCACTTCAAAATGCTTCTTAAATAATATATATTTTTATGTCTGGAATATAAAGCAAATTTTTTAGATTTTTTTTTCAATATAGTATACAGTCTCACTTTTTTAAAGATCACAGTTTTATATATAGGTACACACATTTACACACAATGATCAAAGAAAATATACTTTCTTGCCCAAATATTAATTAAAATTGTAATGAATATAAACGAATAAACTTTTGTTGAAGACCTAACAATTCGTAGAATTAATGTTAAATTTGGAATAATTTTTGGGTTTCACTTTCATGTGTTAAGTTTGTGAAAATTGGTTTATAAAAACTACTTACAATAGTACCTTGTATAGTTTAACAAATGATTCCATTTAGAATAAGAATTCAACATATTTTATAAGAACTTTAAATGTAACTTGTATATACAATAGACAATTCGTTATTATTATGTGATAAAAAATATATATTGAAAAAGAAAAAAAAAACAATAAATGTATATACAAAAGGCTATGGGTTTTTTATTTTTCCATAATAAAAACAATCTTCAATATGAAAATTATAAACTATTATAAAGCTAGAGTTTTGTATGTTTGAAGGCGCTAATCTCAGGAACTACGGGTTCAAATTGAAAAATCATTTTTGTGTTGGTTAGAGCATTTATCGAGGAAGGTTATAACATGCTCGATGTGACTAATACGCGGAAGAAGCACCGGGAAATGTGGAAAAGTCGGGGGAAATTCTTGTTTCTGGGTTGCCAAAGCGTACGCTGCGAAAACGGTTCAAGATAATCAAAAATGTGTATGAAAGAATGATTCCTCTTTAAATGATCTAAGAAATGTCCGCGACAGTATGTCTATCTTATAAGATTAACTTGCAAGAACGACGTGACGCGACCGACGTCGTGGGTAACAGCTTAAACTTATAAAGATGAAGAGGAGGTTTGCAATAACTAATTTTGATGCCCAAAATAACTTTTCCAGGCGACCGAAGACGCTGACACTGCTTGTCATATTAAAAGCTTATCAATTTTCTTCGTTTTATTCAAAATTGTTTCTAAACAAGTAACTTTAAAATTTAATTCATATCACTAACTACCCACAAAGAAATCTGTTTTCTTTTTGTAATCTAAATTGAAGACATCATCTTGTATGGCCACGCTCAGCTCCTGTATCGGGACGGTTTTTGTTCTCCAGTATACATTTTGGATCTTGGGCGATCGTTGACGACGCTTGTGTGCCTTCAGATGGACCTGAAAACACAAACATTAAATACTGTCTATAACACAAACATTACTTTTAATTTTTAAATTATCGATGAAAAAGACATTTAAATAAAACACTTTAACGGTTTAAAACGCGATAAACTTATTTGAAAATGATTTTTAACTTCGGCCCGACATTTCGTATGCGTTTCCGATAAACCACCTGTTAAAGGCACTGATTGTTCTTAGAGCCAAAAAATTGACTACCTACATAGTCTGTTAAAGCTAGGAAGACATACTTTTTTAATATGAGTATTGACCATGGAGCGCAAATGGAAGAGAGCTGGGCACAGAGGGCAGCGGCGGGTGGGTGCAGTGTGGGCACACAACGAGTGTTGATTCCGACGGTTAACTGTGACGAAACTTCGACCGCAAACCTTTGGAGAAGAAGAATATCATTTTATACCAACATGAAAAAAATCAAAATTTCCTAACAAGAAAACATAGGAAGAATTGAGTGCTCTGCTCAAAACCTCTGTATCTTCAATTAGTTAACTTAAATGATTGAAGGATGTAATTTAAATAGAACGTCTTAAGGGTTTAAAACGAAAAATATATTAATTAAACAGTATTTTAAGTACGGGCCGGGGGACTGTTAACTAATAAACTTTGTGTTTAATACCGTTAAAAAAGGGTTTTGTACTACTCTCGTAACCTGCAGACAGTATTTAATGAACTAACCTCACAAGTATATGGGCGATCATTGGTATGCAATCTTTCATGGAACATTAAAGTCCTTTCATGTTTAAATGACTTTCCACATTGGCAGCATGTGAATTTTCTTCTCTTGCTTTCCTTTGGTTTTATTTCTTTCAGTTTATCAGGTGCACCACTGGAACATTAAAAAGTCTTGATCACACTATATGTAAAAAAGGCCTACATGGATTTGTGATCACTACAAAATTAATAGATTTTTACTTAAGGATAAGACAAGTAATTTTTTTAGTGCAAAGGAGGCACACACCGATAGAACAATCCTGGGGTTCGCCTAATGGAAGGTTTAACTCATCAGTCCTATAAGAACTGATTAAGATGTGCTATCAACCTATGTTGGCTTAATCCACAGACTTAAACCAAAACATGGATTTATACGTCACGGTTTTCTATCTGCGGATGGTGTTGGCCAATTTACCACCCCTTTAATACTCATGATATAAATTGTGAGTCATATTTTAAGAAAAACCTGAGATTTATATACAATGGGCCATTATGTATAAATGGTGGAAGTAAACCTACAACCTAATCATCATTCACTATACATTGCAACTGTAGAACCAAAAAGGTAGACATAAACTCACTTCTTAGCCATATGTAACTCGTGTTTTTTAATATGTGATTCAAATCCAAGTTCTCCTTTATACATCTTCCCACAGTAAAAACATGTATATTTCTTCACATGGCTACTGTCATTGTGTTCAGCCAAACTTATTTCATCTTCAAAAACCAAGCCACATGTCTCACAAATATTTCCTTGACCGGAGTTTATGAGGTTTTTAATGTCATCATGCCATTTTAAATGATTAATTATGCCATCTCGGCTCTTAAATACCATGGTACATATCTCACATATATGCTTGTTTGTGTGTGTTCTTAAATGATTTTGGAATTCCTGTTCGTCTACTATGCAAGCTTTGCATACCTGAAACATAGTAAGGAAACTGAATCAAAACTTATCACTCTATAACCCGCTGTTACCACCTACGTAACGTCATTCTGAACACAAGTGTCTGGAACACTGTGGATGCTGGTTCAAGTCCTGCACTAGCCGTAATTTCTTTCAATTTATTTTCGATTTTTAATTCATAGAGTGCCATCATGTGTATGTGAAAAATATTAAAGTTTTCAAATTTATCACACTATATTATTATGTAATAAATTTCATATTATCTATGTAGATGTATATGATTTTTTTTTTCTGATAAAGAAACAATAACCATTTAAGTATTCTGTTGTCTTTTTTGTAGTTTACAAGAATTGTACAATGTCATGGGTTATAATTGTTCTAAGTATTGTCTGTACCTTACACATGTAGTGCACAAGTTAAGAAAAGTTAACATATAAATTTTGTTTTTTAAACCATTAGTGTTTTGGGACAGTGTCAGAAAATATCCAGCATTAGATATTATTTAAACAGTAGGTACCTTGCAAATGTGAATGTCGACACCATGTTCCATTCTCATGTGTTCTTTCAGTTTGCCTAGGAACCTATACTTAACCGGACATTGCATACAAACTATTGACGTCATTGGTTTTCTTTTCCATCTTCTTCTCTTTTTTGTTACACCTTTATCCAATTTTTCTCCACCCTTATTTAAATTATTTTCAAGCTTTAGAATCACATTATTTGTATGTAGTTCTTTATTTAAGGTGTTCTCAGAGATTGGTTTAAGGAGATTGTTTAAGTCTTCTTTAGATTGTAATAAGTCTGGTACTAGAAGAACTGCTTGCTTGTCAGATATGTTAATAGTAAATGATTGGCTCAACAATTCTGTAACATATGTATTTAATACTCTGCAACTCTCTTGGGCTACTTTAAAAAATGTATAAGTTGAAGATGCTAGCTTTAAACACGTATGACAAACTTTGTCACAGGCCACTAAGGGTAACTGAAAATTAAAATTTAATTCATGAAACTTAAGTAAACATATAATATCATTTTTAAGTGGTGTTATATACAATAAGATCCCAAAACCAAACAACTTATACCAACCTGCATCCCGAAAATGTTCTCTATTACTTCTGTCACCGAAAACTCCATATCTGCATTGCAAATTCTAGTAAAAATGTCCTCGGCATGAATTTCTTGCACTGGCTGAAGACAAACTCTACAGAATAGCTCCTTCGGTTTATTGTATAGTAAGCTTTTAATAAAATCTTTCGAGTTTTGAGACATCTAAAATAAAAGTAAACAAATTTATTTACACATAACAATCTAGAGTTTTGGCTGCGTTCTGAAAAAAGAAACATCCGTAAATTATTGTCACAAACTAAGTTATACGTGATTTCTGATACATTCAAATTTTAAGTTGATCCTTCTTTAGTGTTTATCCAAGTTCAATTAAATATTAGTAATTTTAGGACATAATTACTTTAGAGAGCAATATGGGCCCCAACAATAAATTTATTTTATACTTACATTTTACACTAGATTTAAATTTCACGAGTGGACGTATGTATTTTGCAACAAAATGGCAATTGGCATTTCAATTTGTGTGTCTACTGTCCACCACTGTTCTTGTTTTCGCATTGTCTGTTTTTTCTATATAGCCTGCATTGAAGTCCATAGACTACGTGAGTAATATAATCTGCCTCATATGTAGTCTGTGTTATACATACATCAATTTCATGTGTGACAGAAGGGTATTTTTTTATTGTTGTACTCCGTCGAAAAAAGTACCGTGTACATAGTTTTTATGTAATTAATATTAATTAATACACGATTATAGTTATATTTTAAACTGGTAAACATTTTGGTTTTAAACATTGTTTTTAAATCATGTGAAGTGGGATCGTATGTTTCATAGCTAAGAAGAAGTTTTTTGATTTCCATAATGGGAAATTCTAATAGTGCCAGTGAAACCTTAAATGTTTATAATGTTCTACGAATTTTAAGTGTTGTTATACTCATTGAATTAAGGTGAAGGAGTAAAGCTATTAGGTAATAAAATCGAAATAAACAACAATTTACACTAAGGTTTAGATTACATACTTTTGTGATATAAACATTGTTAGAGCCTATAAACAATAACTCTTCACTTTACTACAGAAAATATAACTATTTAATAAATATTTATAGTAGTATCAGAAATTAAGTGTGTATCATATTTTTCACAAGTAAAAGTAATAGAGTGAATTTAAAATTGTATCACCACTCTTAAAATAATAAAAATATAGTTCGTCTGACTGATAATAATTATTATATATATATATATTATCTTAAATCAATACCAATTTTTTGTAATGTTTTTCAGCAATGTCAGATTTAAACGCTGGAGGTGAAAATATACCTGTGATAAATGATACTTCAATTGTAGAGAACCTTAATTTAAACATGTTAGAAAATTTTACGAATGAATCATTAGAAGATGTGTCTTTTAAAAAGGACACTGATCTTTCAGAAAATGTTTTTGTGAATATGTCAGAAGCTAAAGAAGATAAAATAGAAGGTACATTAGACATAAATGATTCGTCAACATCACACATTAAAGAAGAAACTGAAATAGAAATAAAGCTGGAACAGGAAACTATTGGACACAATGTAATTGATAATCCATTTAAAGATATTCAAGTTCATGTTAAAAGTGAACTTTCAGATGAAGAAAAATGTTATAAAAAAAGTGAGAGTGATGAAATAACAAAGGAAGACAGTTTTAAAAGAAATTTTGATATAAAAGACGAATATTGCCAAGATGACATTGTTACATATGATTATCCGACTTTTGATGATAGTATGGATAGTGAAGATGCCACAGCATTGGGCAATGTTGAGACATGCTTACAAGAAGTCAAATCAGAACCTGATAAGGTTGAGGTAGGTACACATTAAGAATACATTTTATTGGAGTGTGGTGGATGGTCATTACTTTGATTTCAAGGTATAGCAATATTTAGATTAATCTCTTTTTTTTCAGGATAAGGATGTGATTAACAATCAAATTAAAGAAGAATCAGATGTAACAGTCACAGATACACACCTAATATCTAATACAATTATTAGTACTTCAACTATAACAAATCCAGAAATTGATATAACACAATCTGAAACTACAAGAACTCTTCTAATGGAAATACATCCAGTTTTTCAATCACACAATGTTTTGAGTAACCCAGAAGAAATTCTACCAACCTCAAATGAAAATGAAATGGATTTGACTGAACCATTCCAGTTGAATTCTATCACTGGAAATGTCTTGTCACTTGAGCAAGAGGCCTATGGACTTTTAAAAGCAAAGAAAGCACATAGAGTTGATTCTGATGGCCGGAGTTTTCCTTGTGAAAAATGCTGTAAGGTGTACTACAGTAATGGTAGTTTAAAAAAGCATTTACAAGTTCATCAGACCATCGAAAATTACGAGCGTGGTAGAAAAATGATGCAGGTCACTAGAATTAAAAATTCTAGGCGGAACATAAAGAACAAAAAGTATATTAAAAAAATTAAAATAGGTGATCTTGCAAGCATGAGGGCGAGGCAAGACAGACTAGAAAAACGAATGCAGCTCAAAGAACTCCATGAAAGAGAAAAGGTGCAAAACGAAAGTATAGAGGCAGATAAACTTATTAATGAAGGTAAAATGGATTCCAATAAAGAGGGTTACGAATGTACTTGTGGCCAAGTTTTCCAGCGTCGAAGCAGAATGGAAACGTGTTTTCGTTCTCATGATATAGACATGTACGAAACCAGACTATGCAACTACTCTTGCATGTCTTGTCCGAAGCAATTTACAGCAAAAGATGAACTCGTGGCTCATAGACGAAGATTTCACCGTAAACGATTCCCTTGTAAATTCTGCCCCACTGACTATCACACGCGAAAAGAGTTATTTAAACATTTAAGGATACATCAAAAGGTTCAATTGATGGAGTACAAAGTCATATCAGAAGTGATGAACGGTAACCAAAACCTGACTTGTTTCATGTGCGACAAAAGTTGCTCAGAGTTGACAGAACTCAAAAGTCACGTTATGGTAGATCATAAGGAGCCATATATTTGCCCTAAGTGTAATGAAACTTTTACCAAAATTATCGATTTTGCACATCACACGAAAACTGATCATCCAGAAGTGGAGGGGCAATCAGTTTTGGATGTTTTAGAGGCCTTCTCTAAGTTAGTTCGGGATTGGAAGTGCGATGAATGTGAGATACAGTTCCATGAGGCGGATAAATTAGCTAAACATCAAGTGGAAATGCACAGCCCAGAGTTGAACACAGAAATGCAGTATCAGTGTGACGATTGCCGCAGAGTCTTTATTAGTCAAAAAGGTTTAACTTCCCACCGACGTATCCACCATAACACTGGCAGTGTTGAAGAAGCTGAAATAATTGAAGGAGTAATATGCATTGAGTGCCGAAAAATATGCAAAGATGAGACAGCACTAGCATCCCATATGCGATTACATTCTCTGGATAGAAAGTATCCCTGCAAATTCTGTGATTTCCGTTTTGCAACTCCAGAAAAGAGGAAGACACATGCAGAATTACATACAGGCGATATGAAGTACGTCTGCTTTATTTGTGAATACCAATGCACTTCGGAGAATAGGTTAAGACTACACAAAATGTCAGAAAAACATGCAAACATGAAGGAGTTCTTAGTGTCCGGCCAAGCGTTGGCAGAAGCACAGAAGGGCAAAAATAGTGAAGAGAAGATAGATAACAGCTCAGAATCTTCGAACGACGACGGTATCGTTTGTGACATTTGTGGTGAAAAGTTCTCTAATAAAAAGAAAATGCTGAAACACAAAGAGACGCATCCCTTCATAGAATTCCCTAACGATGATACTCCTACTAGAATATTTTTTAAGTAGCATTTCTTGCCTTAATCACCTTTGAATTAGTGAATACTTTATCATATCCGAACTGAAGAGAGTATATTTAATCTATACTTTATTTGTGTAAGAGCATTCATTTGAAAATCTTATTTCTGTTATTTAATTAGGCGTAGGGATTAACTCTCATTACAATATTAGCTTGAAGCTAGTGCAATAATAAATGGCCTTTTTCAATAAATGTTTATAAAAAATGATGAGAATAAGTTTTGCTTACAGTTCATATCTAAAACCGAGGTTTTAATTTACCTGTAATGTACCAGAGGTGAAAAAGATAGCAACTTCAGAAAATCTTAAAATGGTGCACAATTTGCATATATTATTTAAAATAAAAGTTAAGTTTGTGTTCATTTTTTCTTATTGGTCACAATTTTGTTTAAACTAAATCACATATATCATAAGCCTGTGTTTCTAGTCTTTAGTGGGTAATATATATCACTCATTGTTTTATACTCTGAATTTTAAACTTTTATTTTATCTTTTAAAGCACCCTTTTCTTGATCGATGATACACTTGGACACTCCATTTTATAGCTAGCTACCAGTGCCTGAAAGTATTGAATGGGTTTTGTTCTTCATATATATGCTTTTGTGTAAATTAAAAGATTGATTTAAGTTAAAATTGTTTTATTATCACAACATATACTTATGTCAATTGCAATGTCTTTGTTTAAAATGTAAGGGAATTGTGTGTTACAGATGATTCCAGAAACTTTGTAATTCTATAGTAATTGCAGAAGTACTAAATTATAAGTGATTAGAAATTTAAACGATCACAACATTTAATGCTAAAATTCACTTAAATGTCAAAACAAAGTTATGCAGTAGAAAATTCACAAGAAACTTTCTTTAGTCTTGGACAAATATACTATTAATCTATAAACAATAAATATTTCTCGTTTTAAAATCAATGCTATCATATAACAATACAGATGAGTACCTGACCACCACACACAGACTAAAGAGGTCAACAAACATATTATAATAGTCCAAATGACATTGTATTGTCTGTTTATAATTTATTGTTTAGACAATTTGAAAAATAGTAATCCAATTATAAGTAAGAGTTAAACATGGAAAAAAAGATTAAGAAAAAAGAAACAGTCATGCGCGCCCTCAGCGTAGCGAGTTCACACGAACTAAGTACGCTGTTGGTTCTCAGTTCGAGTCCGCCTTTTCAGATGTCATCATTCTCTCTTAAACATTTCTTTAACGTAATATACAGTGTTTCATATTTGCTTTTGCTATACTAAGTTATTCTCAATGTGTCAAACATGTATCTTATAGATTATGTAATTTCTAATACTTATTGAATAATCCGAAGAGAAATGGGGGAGGGGGGGGATAATGATACTAATAATTAAACTAATTATTATATTAATACGAAAATTGAATTTCCCACGCTTTTCCCATGAGCGCCGCGGGCTTTCTTACGACGAGGACGTCGTTGCCGCGGTGAATGGTCATCTGAAGTGGCGTAGATTTGCCGTCTTGGACCATTTTCGCCGACTTGGGGGGTGACTTGATGCCAGCGATCACTATGCGTTCCACCCAGGATCGGGTCGGGTAGTTTCCGTTGTTTATGATACTGAAAACGATGAAAATGTTGTGAAAAGAGATATGTCTTATAAGACACAAACATCCAAGTTAAATATTACAATACCATCATATAGTTCCAAATGTAAATTTAAGTAATATTATAGGTTGCGGCCCGGATGTTTAGCGCTGAACGAAGTGTAGAGGGGATAGTTGCGCATCTATGCAATCGCGCACGTAATTGATTGAAAAACGTGACTGTACTCGAGAAGTAAGCGGAGCTTCGTATTGGTCCGAGAAAGACAACACGACTGGGGAACCAATCAACGCTGGCGCACATGACGTTCACTTGCCCCGCGCCCGCTTCCGCCCCTTCGATACCTTATTTTTGACTTCTGCGCAGGATTCGTTCAGCGCTAAAGATCCGTGCCGCTACTCATACAGATGAATAAGAGTAAAGAAAGATGAACATTAGAATAAGGTTTAATAAATATTGAAAGGTTTAAGTAACAACGAACGATAACTATAAAGAATTACTATTTATTTAGTACTTTAAATATTTTTAAATTTTTTTGTTTTTCTATGTATTATGCCGCGTAATAAATATTTGCCAGTGTGTTTGCCAATGTTAAACGGATCCTTGTATCTAAAATTAATACTTACATGTACTTCATAGCCGAAGACTCGTATGTGATTTTGGCGTAAATGAATTTATTAGATTTGAAGTCGTAAGTTTCACCGTCGTCGATGTATAGGGTGCTGGTCGCTGTGTTCTGGATAAACAAAAAGCATACATTGCATTATATTGTATAAGAGCCATCGTACCACTGTTTCTAAAAGGAGTGACATAGTAGCTCAATTGTTTAGAGTAGAGAGCGCTATAGAGTATCTACATTTTTTCAGTCTCAACAGATTCTTTATTTAAGAGTGAAATACCGATTCTTCTTGAGCATGTGGCGAACACAGTTCTGTGGCCGTTTCATATATAAGTTTTAGTTACTTCTCCTATAAGTTAAACGTTATTTGTATACGTACAAAATAATGAAGTCCTAACAGTACTTACGTCAATATCAAGAGCAACGACTAGAGTGTAGGGGTCGTCATGCATCAGTGCTGAGGATCTGCGCACGCGTTCCTTGCGTGGAATTATTGTGCCTCCACGCTGATATACTGGAATCTATTGTAAAGGTTGTTTTAAATACAATTTTTATATAATGAAACAGTAAATATGTACTCATCTTATCGCCACTGTTAATAAATTTTTTTTTATGATAGAAAAGGACAGACAATTGAAACACTTGATGGTAGGTAAAATATCGCAGCCATATAGCATCAAAACAACATGTGCTGTCGACCATTTTCGAAACCGAACCACGATTAATATAGACAGTTTTTTCATCAGTGGTCGGTGATTCGTGAGTCGGAATTGTAATAGTATTAAAGTCAAAATTAACTTTACATTATTATACGTTTGTATAGTATATAAACGAGTATATATAATTTATTCTAAAAGCCATTAATACCTTGGTGATAGTAACTTCTTGAGTGAAGAATCCAGCGGCGTCATGGCGCTGGAAGGAATCCACATCGTACCAGACCGTTCGGGATTCTCTTCCCGGGAGGTATACCTTAACGCTCGACACGCCCTCTTCGACCACGGGACGGACAAGAAGCTTGTCACCTGAAGACATAGAAGTAAATTTCATTCGCAGATGAGTTAAATAAATGAATAATTTATACTAGCTGACCCGGTAAGCGATATTTTTAGATAATATGAATTATGTGTAGGTGGTAATGTTTTGGTATAAAGAGTAACTTATCTGTGTGTGAGATGATGTGAAATCAATCAATACCTTAGCGCAGGCCTAACGTATGTATATACAAAGTTTCATTAAAATCATATCAGCCGTTTTGGAGAAATCCGCACACAAACTGTGATACGAGAACATTAGATAAAGTCAGTTGTCTAAAACTTATTAATGACAGATGTATTACATCCTTCACCTTTTGAAGGCAATTGAAAAACAGACATATAAATTTTCCCTATAAGAAAAGAAATATTGTATGGCGTGAGGCATGGGGGGACCACTTTTCTGTGTCCGTTTCATTGATCGATTCTTTTAGAGGAATGTTGATGATCCGACTTCTGTGATTTGCCTGACCGAAATAATCTGTTGTTTAAAGCTAGGCGATATATGTAACCATTTGGCTACAGAGACGGTCATTTGTGTGGTTATATTGAGTTTAATCTCACCCAATAAATAAGTATCGTCGATTGTGTATGTCTGTTCTTCTTTAGGGTAGTGGGTGAACAGCGGTCTCATCACTGGTACCTTGTCCAGGGTGTGCTCGTAAAACAGTGTGTACCTAGAAATAAAATAAAATTAAAAATAATATATATTTAGAACACAAGATGAACTTATGTGTTATAATTATAATTTTTTTACCTATTTTATTTTCATAGGACAAAGAGTATGTCTCGTATGTTATATTGAAACATAATACTCGATATTTAAATAAAACACTTTAACTAATATATACCGCGTTTTAAACCGTTAAAGTGTTTTAAATGTGTACTACTCGCGTAAACTACAGACAGTATATAATATTTGAAATTTTATTGAGAGGTGAACGTCTTTGAAAGAAATTCGAAGATGAGGTAGCTCAATTGGTTAGAGTAGCACGGAACATTGTGCAAGGACTAAAGCCGTTGAACCTTAATACGCAAACGCTATGGTTGAAATTACATAGCACGAGAGGTGCGTGTATCAAATTCGAACCTGAGCTGTACGCCTCGCTAGCTCAATTGGTTAGAGCAACAGCACGAAACGCTGACGTTGCCGTTTGAAGTCCTATCAGAGTCGAAATTTTTTTTCAATTTATTTTCGATTTTTAACAATAAAATTGTACTATTAAGACTTCATTATCTACTTTTCAGTAAACTTAACATTGATGTGTAATGGACCAAGGTAATTATTAACCAGTTTGAGAAGTTGCTCATTTCAATATCACTCACCAGAAGTCCAAAAGGGCGTATCTGCGCCTGACTGCGTCGCGCAGACGCGACGTGGTTGTGGAGTCATACAACCACGGCTCCCGGCGTTTGGTCTCAATGTGGGAATGCGCGCGCATAAACGGTTGAAAGGCGGCCGCCTGAAAAAATAATTAAAATAAATAAAATGTAAATATCAAATTACTATGGACAGAACAAACAAAACTCTAGCATAGAGTTTTAGAAATATTTTACTCTACTCTCTAGCTGTGCCAGCAACGTCGTCCGCATAGAATAGTTATTTTATTAAGATGAATAATTTTCCTCGTTTCTTTCATATTTCCCACTATTTCTTCGATACTATTGTTCGCATCGCGATGTTTTATAAAATATTATGTAAAGAAGTCTACAATGTCAAGTACAGCGTAAAATAAAAATAATCTTTAAAGGTAATAAAACAATTTTAAGCGGGTTTAAATGCGAACTATATCAATATGTTGTTTTGAATGCTTTACAGTCGCCCTGGTTGCGAGGAAAATAACAAAGGTTTGAAAAAAACCTAAAAATGTTAGGCCAAAGTATTTTCAATTTGCAGGTCATACCTGATACCATCTTGTCATTAACTCAGCCTCAGGGTACTTAAAGAAGCCGCCCACGTCGGACCCACAGAAGCTGACACCAGCGCTGGCCAGAGAGAGACACATAGAGATCGAAGCGAGAAGGAATCCCCACTCCGCCATGTTGTCACCAGTCCAGACTGCGGCGTATCTGTGGATTAACAAACCGATAATCAGTTATTAAATACATATTAAGTTTATTTATTACTTTTCATAATAGTAATTTTAAAAACATACACAAAGTATAAAGTAATTATACCGACGACCTTCAGTCCCCCCATGACCACGGTCGCTGCAAAGCATCCGAAACGTCGAACCGTATTTAATATAAGTTAACGAATATGTCTCTTTTAAAACAGTTGAGTGTTTTATTTAAATGTTACTACGATGTTAACTACATAACTAAGTTGCCTTTTTTCCTTAATATTAAATATTATATGATACTAATTTTGGAATATACAAATAGAAAAAGATATTAAAATCCTCCACATTGGGTCCCCTCGATACCACGGCTCAAAAAGGGCATATTGATAAAATAAATTAACTTCTTTTCGCATTTTAAACCGTTGTAAGTATTATACTTAACTATGGCTAGTAACCAAACTGCCTTACCTTTGCGTGCCTGAGAAAACTGCTCTTGACAGAATAAAAGGTCTGTATTGTCCATTGACTCTGTCCAGCATGCCCTTGTGAGTGGACATGATGTGCCATAGACCATACTCATTGTGGATGTGCCTAAAATAAAATAGGATATTATAAAACTACTTAAGATGCATATATACCTATAAGTGTTACAAGTAGATAGACAACCAACCACGCAAACGTTATATGAGGCCGCTAGAGTCAGAGTAGCCTTACTGCAATTTTATGACTTTAGTTATTTTTATAGGCTAAATATGTTGACCGCATGAGCACAGTGACTGAAAATTGTTAAAATAATTTTTACAAATAATATTGATTTTCGCCTAAATTAGTTGCACATTATTATTTTTCTACTTATTGAAAATCATGTTTATTTTTGTTTTTAGGCCACTATGTGTCTAGCAGCCTTATATATTCGTAGAATATATCTATAAATAGTATATACGTATACAGATTTTTAATTTAAATAATGCCAACATTTAAATATGTGAAATATATTAAATTTTAAGCCACTTGTTTAGGAGGTATTCTGCCCAAATGTATGGTAAAAATAATGTATTTAAATAAAACACAAAAAACGGAGGAGACTCCCCGTGACCACGGCTGGTGGAAAGCATCCGAAACGTCGGGCCGAAGTTAAAAATCATTTTTAAATAAGTTTAACTAATATTTCGTGTTTTAAACCGTCAATGTTTTATTTAAATGTGTTCTACTCGCTTAAACTATAGACAGTATTTAAAAATAATACACTAGTATGTGTGCGTACTTATTTCCAATTCCGCCGCTATAAAGAACATTACCTGTGTTCCCAGAATGAAGCGAGACCGTCTTGCCCATCTTGAGGAGGTTTGTAGTGACGGTTATCCTTTGGCATAGTTATCTCTGGGCCATTGAATACCTATAAGCAAATAGAATACACAACATTGATACTTAAGTCTATAGATAAATAGGCTTAAATTAGCTTAAATTTGTGAATCTTATATAGTTTAAAGCTTGGAAGCTCAACCTGCAAGTGACCTACAATAGATCTTGGGATATAGTATATTAAAAAATCACAATAAGATTTTATTACGCACAACTAGAACATACCAGAAATATATCTTTATAGGCCAGAAATATATGGATAGTGAGCTTTTCTTCGAACTTCGTTGAACTATAGTCTGAGTAAGTAATACTTACGCTTGGCTCGTTCATGTCGTTCCAAATGTGCACATCCTTGCTGGTGCCAACGAAGTTTTCGAACCTGTATCTCTCGGTGAAGTATTTGAAAGCGGCCGGGTTCAAGAAGTCAGCGTATGAAGAGGAGCCAGGCCAGCACCAACCTAATTCATAAATAAGATCCACCCATTCAGATTTTCCAAACCATAAGTTCTAGAGATTATTAATATTAAGAAAAAAATTGCCCCTGGTGACAATGGAACAACGCGTAGATTATCCCTGGCTATCAATTTCACTAACCAGTGCTTCGAAGTCCAGGATTAAAATTAACTAAACTAAAATTTATTGGCCACTATGAAGGAAGCCGATGTGATAGTGGTACCTGCAAATGCATTAAAATAGCTTTTACCACACGTAAAACCTCACCATCATAATCATTGCCGTCCTTATTCTTCACATACAAGCCCATCTCTGTGCAGTCGTCGTGGACGACGTAACCAGCTTCGCGCTTGATGTGAGGGTCGATGATGACCACCATCTTGCGGCCCTTCGTCGTTAGGTTGCCGACCATTTCGGCGGGGTGCGCGAATTTAATTGGTTGCCATGTGAAGTATCTAGAATGAAATATAATAAAAATATACTTTAGTCTCATTAAAATTTTAAACATTATTTAGATTCGTCAAAAAAAAATTAAAATGTTTGTCTGTTTGTAATTCTACAGAGTACTGTAATAACAACATAACCGAGAAGAATCTTTATAAATATTTTGTTTTTATGTACAGTTAGTATTAATTGATATAAAAAAGATGCTTATAAAGTCACGTGAAATAAAATGTGAAACATAAACTCTGTAATTAAGCTGCAAAGCATAAGACATTGAATCTTAATGCGCAAGTGTTAAGGTTTAAATTACAATGAGCGAGAGGTGCATGTATCAATTGGTTTAAAAAATTCGACGATGACGTGTAGGGCACGGTAGCTTTTCAATCTATAATAGGTTTTTAAAATATACTTTTATCAATATAAATAGATAGTAAATTATCTATTTAGATATTTATCTATTTAGTTTGATTATTTTATTTATATGAAAAGAATATTTTTTTATGATAAAGCAGGACAGACAAGCCCCATGGTTCACGTGATAGACGGTGAAATACTTCAGGCATAAAAAATAATCAACACGATGCGTTGTCAAGCTTATTTGGTTTTGGATATTAAGAAATACACAGACTGAAACCCAAACACGATTAAAATAGCGGCTTTCTCATCTGTGGTCATTGGTTCTAAACCCACCATAACCCACCATGTTTCAGAAAAAAAAAAACTTACTTCCTGTTGTCAGTGTATTCGATATCCAGCCAGATAACATCTAGAGGAATGTCGTGGGCGTCGAAGCCTTCGTCCACAGCGCGGACATCAGCTTCGTCAACATAATTCCACCGAGACTGGTGGTACGCCAGGGAAAATTTCTGAAAACATAAAAGTATAATTATATTGACAAAAAACATTGATTCACGTAGTTAACTACTCTTATGCACGTGACATCAGTTAAAAATTAAAGACTCTACATTTACTACCAGCTCTCACATCAAGGGCATAGAAAGAACGAGAAGATCTGGCGAGAAACTCGCCGTCTATCGCCAAGTTTTTGCAGTCTTCACGTACTTTAAGTGCACTACATGTTTTTTTCTTGTTATTTAAGTTATTATGTTGATTGTAACTCACAGGTGGCAAAGGTGTAACCCCAGTGAGTGTTGTGTACTGACGGAACGCGTCGCTCGGAGAGTCGCCCATGAGCACGAAAATATCCACCACGCCACTTTCACTCATAAACCTTAAAACCATGAACAGAAACCATTATTGATTAAAATTCCTTAATGGATGGATTTTTAGTAAGTAGTTTTCAGTGTTGCGTGGTGCAGTAGTATCTTAGTATTCACGTTTTCGAAGGAAGCTAGGATACTACAAAATGTTATATTATCATAATTTCAATATGTAGATACTTTTGAGATATACATCTTTGTAAATTTATTCCTATACGACATAACCTAGTAAATAAGGCCTATTAAATAAAGATACAAAGCAACACTTCATTATTACTAAGATACAAATTGTAACAGACAATAATATAATACATAAGAAAACTATAGCAAACCTGGCATCAACGCGTCGCTTTTGTCCACCAGTGACCAAATTGACTAGAGACGAGACGACCGTGCCCTCGCCGTAGTTCACCACATCGACCCAAGTTTCGGCAGTGTTATGCCAGAATACACCAACTGTGCGCTTTGGTCTAATAAACAAAAAACCTAATTAAAAGCGGAATAAAGATATTCTATTTCGTGAAGGAATTTGAGCAATAATAAAACATAGGGAAATATGTCACGCAAAATAGTTTACTCAAAAAAAAATTTTAAACTCCTCCTTAAAATACCCAATCTGTCGGGTCGAAAACCATTTTGAAGAAATATACGATACTTGCAGGCATTGAACCGGCATCCCCAGCGTCCCATGCTATTGCTCTAACCAATTGAGTTATCGTAACCTCTTGCGAATTTATTTATTACAATGAATTATTAAGAATTAACTAAATAATTACACTAGTATAGTATATAGTAGCTTACCCATGCGCGTACATAACGGGAATAGATCCGTATATAGCCATCCTACTGTCCAATTCATACTCGAAGACATCCAAATTGTACAATCTGTATGGGTCTCCAGATGTGGTCGTTTTGAGGTTAAACCCATCAGTATGTTCGGGAATACCTAAGGAGTAAATATACACATAAAACAACTATGTACTGAAGAGTTTGACTAAAAATAGTTTTATATATTAGGCCGCTACAGGAAGAGTAGCCTAACTGCTATTTTATTACCTGGATATTTATATTTTTATAGTCTAAAAATGTTAATCTACAAGAACACGTGACAAAAATTTTACCCTAAGTTAAAAGTACTTTATTATTTTCCTCCTTATTGAAAGTCTTGTTTTTTGTATTTAGGCCACTGTGCCTCTAGCAGCCTCATAATAGGGATGAAGAATGAGGGTAGAACTATAAACATAGACGTACTTAAAATGTATATACACATAATTTATTAAAATTTAAGACTACTTGAATTTATCACGAAACTTTCCCCACTCTCTTAATGTTGATGAAGTGGTATTTGCTGGGTTGTATTTGAAATCGTTTTAGCCAGAAGTAGATGCCCATGAGATCTTATGTAATACTAGGAGGATAACATCGCTCAACAAACAAAAAATCTCATTCATAGCAAACTTAGACAAGTTATGCTTCACTCAAGAGAATTATTTGCAAATGCTACAAGCTGCTTACCATAAACCTGGTCAGCATCAGGAAAAGCGACATCAAGGGAAACGCCTTCGTTTCCACGAGGTTTGCTGTCATGATGGGATTTGAAGTTTTCACTCCAGTCGCCCGCTTCAACCTTTAATGAAGCCAATAAACAAAATGAAATCGAGACTGATAAGGGGAACATATTTCTGAGTACCATTCGATTATCACTTCAAACAATAAAAAAACTGTTTTAAGCTACCAAGATGTTGAAAGTATGTTTCTATAAAGTAACAATTTATAACCAGTTAATTAACTCACTTATATTTATGAAGTTGTTAAAATGGATTTTAGATTGAAATTTTTTACGACACAGGCGGGACTGGAACCGGCATCAACAACGTTTCGCGCCGTTACTCTAACCAATTGAGCTACCGTATCCTATTAGTCGTATTGATATATATTTTTTTCTATCATAAATTTTAGTTTATAAAATGCCAACATGTGCAATAATATGCAAAAATATACAGTTTTTAAATTGAAGACTGAGTAAAATTTAATTAATTTTTTTCGAAATATTTCGAACCCTTTTTCATGGTTAGATGAAAATTCAAAATGTTGCACATATTTGTGATTTTTATTCAGTCATCGCCAACAGTTGATCATATTGCATTTGTTATATTATATTTATATAATAAGACGTAAACTGCCATTATGATTAACGTGTTTAAATTTAAACTGTTTATTAATTGCTTACGTGAGGTCAGGACGACGTATGTTATCGTAATGGGTTTATATGTTATGTCATTATATACTACGTATCATAGTATACATATGTAGTGTGGATTTTTATAGTTCAAAATGTTTGCTGCAAAACAATATAGCAGAATATATATAGTTTTTCAATGTTACGTGATATGTAACACAAACCAATCTTATTATAAATTCTATTTTTATACAAGTGTACGTAACGAGGGAATCATTTTTGGATTATGTGAGACGACGCAAATAATTTCACAGATATTATGATTGCACATATATAAGAGTGATATAACTAATTAAATAAAATACTTTAACGGTTTAAAACGCGAAATTTATTAGTTAAACTTATATGAAAACACGGCTGATGCAAAGCATCCGAAACATCGGGCCAAAGTTAAAAATCATTTTCAATAAGTGTTTTATTTAAATCTTCGAACCTACGAGCCGTTTGATTAGTAGGCGTATATTTTTTGATTTAGTGCATAGAGATAGGCTATTGGCTCAATTACTATCAGGCACGTACATAGATAATATTCAGATCAGTAAGATCAAAGATGTGATACGTTTTTACTCTATTATGTTTACATAATAAACAATTAATATGCTCTTGAAGACTTTAATATCTTTCACATGTTATTGCAAATGATGGCACTATTTAATTTAAAAATCGAAAATATATGGAAAAAAAATCGACTCAGGCAGGACTTGAACCGGCGTCGTCAGCGTTCCGTACTTTTGCTCTACCACTAGTTTTTTATTTGTGTACGATTTTTAAATGCCTTTGCCTGCGGACTATTGCCACTAATGTAAATTATATAACTCCAAGGTGGGGCAATTTTTATTTATTATATTATTTCACTAGCAGCCTACTAACAAATTTATCAGAGCATATGCTAGATTTTTTTTGAACTAACCTAAGTACTGAACTATTCTACCTGGAATTCAACTCTGAGCCTTTTGATTTGAGTCAGAATCAATAATCACTAGACAAAAACTATGTAACGTATGAGTCATTAAGTTTTACTAATACACAAACGTAACACAAGAACGACCACAAAACAATAAACAAACAAGACACTCACATCATTTTCTTCTCCTTCACCATTTCTAACCTTCAACGGCTCCACAAAGAGTTGAGCGTTGTCATTCAAAACAACAGCTGGTTCTCCATTCTTATCAATGAATTCAAACTTGAGGGGCTCAGCTGTTACCACTACCTTGTGACCTTGGCTATTTTTCAATGTCAGCTTACCATTCTCATTTGAAATTAATTTCAGTCTGAAAACGATATTTTAAGACCTTAAAGGTAAAAAAATAACACAAAAGATTTATAGAAAACACTTTTAACAGTTAGTTACAAAAATATATACAATTCAATGTGTTTTATTTTATTATGTAACTACTAGTTTAGTTCAAAAATTCTACTGTGTCTACAATTTCACTCTTAGTAGTGATAAAGAAATTTACTGTTAAGGTTAGTTAGATTTGACAGTAATTTACAAATAGAGTACTTATTATATTTATATTTTTCAATAGTGCTGTTTTAGTGAAAATGTTTTGGGATGTTCTTATGCCAGCAATTATAGATAATTCAATAATCAAAATTGTCTAAGTCCTTTTAAACTGCAGGGCAGTGCTAGATAAAATAAATGATTGCTAACTTACTCATCTCCTCGTGGCTCCCCATCAAGCGCCACTTGTGGTCTGTATCTTGGATACAATGGTTCGGCTTCATCTATTTCCACTCTAAATGTACCATCTGCTAATGCTGATAATCGGAGGCCATAATGCCACTGGTAAAAAGATTAATACAATTATATTTTTTCGAAATTTTGTAAACAAATTAAAATGTCTTTGGAAAATTTGTTATTTACATTTATACATTTTACTAGAGTTCTAATTTCTTTTTCATAAATTAAATATTATGTAACAATAAATACGGAAATGATAAAAATACTAGAACGTTAGTTCTTTGTCTCTGACAACAAAGAGCAGTTTGAACTTAGGATTTTATGCTTACCTCAACATTTTTCTTATCTCCTTCGTAGTTAACTGTAATGACTTCAGCCGACAGAACATTTCCATGTACGAAAACACTGTCTATATTTAAAGTATACTGGGACTTTTCGGGTTTTAGTGCACGCAATCTCTTACAAAATCCAGACTGATCGCACGTCTTAAAGTTATTTCTATCCACGCAGAAACAGCTATTAATAGCCAATACACCAAACAGAAGAAGTCTTAAGACCATCATCCTATAAAATAATTATGTATTATTTGCTAACTTACAAGTGTCGAACGCCGGTTTAATCTAGCGATAAAAAACTCGTTTTCCTACAAACCTGGCTAAAATATCTCAGGTGTAATTGGGGTTTTATACAGTTTGTGAAACGATTGTTCAGATTATAAATTCATTTGAAACACAATTAATTTTAATAATCTAATTTAGCTAAAATTGTTAAAGTGAGAAACGATAATAAGCACACGCGCGTTACGTGGAGAAATTTTGTTTGCAGTTTTGAGTTTTTGACTCGTTTGGTTTAAGTACTTGACAGATGTCACTGAGTCAGGTAGTACAAATTACAAACGTCACGTTCTTTAAACTTTTCCCTGTGGTTTTCCTCAGAGATATAATGAAAATATACACGCTGTTTTTTTATTGAATTACTCTGTACTCATCTTTCGATGGTTTCAAAAATGAATTATACGCAATATTGTTTATTATATATTAGTATTCAAAGTCAAGTCCCATTTTAACATGTTGGCCCGTAGGTTTGCACGAAGCTCAAACGATGTCAAAATCGTCTTATTTAAGGCTTATTGCCAATCATTCTACTCGTGCAGCTTATGGGCCTCCTTTACACAGAGAGCACTGCATGCTATTCGTGTGCAATACAACAATGTTTTCAGGTTGTTATTGGGCTTGCCAAGATACTGTAGTGCGTCGGGCATGTTTGCGGATGCACGTACAGATGGTTTCCACGCCATCATCCGCAAGCGTGTAGCTTCCCTCATGTATCGGGTTCGACAAAGCACCAATGGCATTCTGGGGGCATTGTGTGAAAAGTATACGGTGCTGCTAAAACGATGGAGTGACGTCCATGCTCCCCCTTAGCGCCTAGCACCTATTCTATGTATTCTGTCTATTTAATTTTAGTGACTAACACATTCTAATATACATTTTAAGTTAAAAATTGTTACTAACCCAACTAACGCACATTAGAATTAATTAATTATGTATTATTTTAAAATAATGTATGGATCTATGGTCTGACAAATAAATTATTATTATTATTATTTAATGTAAATTCTAATTAATATACTTTGCTCGCTACTTGTTTCTATATTAATGTTAGTAATTGTTAAAAAAATAAAAAATAAAATGGGCAATGATTTAATATCATCAATATGCCTAATACTATATTTATATATATACATTTAATTAACTTATATATATATATACACTTAATTTACAAATAACTTAATACTATTATTATATATATACATTTAAATCAGTCTTTGTAATCTTTTCAATTCTTCCTTCTTTACTAAAAGCTTTTCTTTATCTTGTGTTTGAACCCAGTCAGGGAGAGATTCATTAGACAACTTCAATTCTAACTTTTTCACACTTTCCTCTGCCTTTTTTATCTTCGACTGTAATTTAATTTTTGCAATCGAAATTAGCTTTTCCGCGTCGTTTCCTGGTATTTCTATAAAAACTTCAGTTGTCGCGTCTAAAATTGAACTAACATATTTTTTGTCTTCTTTATGAAAATTGATCTTACTACATTTAGTGAGGTTTAATGCAACTAAATTGTTATTTATTATGTCTGTAATTAATTGTTCATCAAGGCTTTTAATTGCTACTACTGGCCTTTCCTTATTTGATATTGCATAAAATCCTTTTATTTCTCGAATTAAGAATATAGTTTTCAATAATTTCTCTACTTGCTGCTCTAACTGTATGTTTTTCCAAAATTTGTAATTCTCTTTTTCAGGAAAAACATAACATTTTTCATCTAGGTCCTTAAAGTTGATGATAATATTTTCATCAAATGTGGGTACTTTTGGAATCAATTCCTCACTTAAGTAAATCATAAATGGCGATAGGCATCTTAATGCCGTGCTTAGAACTGCAGACAGTGTATGAGCATGGGCATAGCCAATTTTTGTATCGTGATCATCAAAACCAGGTTTTGTAGCTTCTAAATAGATGTCACAAAATTCGCCATAGAGAAAACTCCTTATCGCTTTTGTGGCTAGATGGAAATTATTATTCTCTAAGCTTTGATTTACCTTTTCGACCATAGCAAACAATCTGCTCAATATCCACTTGTCGAAATAAGTGAGTTCCTCTCGTTTCAATTCATCTTCTGTTTTTCTTAGTTTTGAAAATGACATTTGTGTATATTTTATGCTCTGCCAAATTTTATTACAGAATAATTTATTAGCGTTACATTGATGCACATCGAAGTTAACGAAATGAGATTTTACATCTTGAGATAGTAATGTAAAACGTAACGCATCGACGCCACATTCAGGTATGCCATTAGTGCTTGCAAAGTTTGATTTGTGATATGCTAAGGATTTATTTAATTCTTCTTTGCTAAGTACTCCATCCTCAAACATTTTGAAAGATTTTTCTTTAAGGCCATCAAGTGATATACCATTTATAACATCAATGGGATCAATTACATTTCCTTTGCTTTTAGACATCTTTGCTCCTTTACTATCACAAATAATTCCATGTAAGAGTACATCATTAAATGGCAATTTATCTGTTAATTCTAAGCCTAACATCACCATTCGATGTACCCAAAATCCCAGAATATCATGCCCTGTCACCATCAGATTTAAAGGGTAGAATGTCTTATAATCTATGTGTTTTGTTTCCGGCCAACCTAAAGATGCAAATGGATAAATAGCTGAAGAAAACCAAGTGTCAAGCACATCAGTATCTCTTTCAACTATTATGTCATCGGGTAAAGCTCGCAGGAATTTAGATGCCTCCACTTTTGCTGTAGTTTCATTTGTTGCAGCAATCCAAACAAAATTTTTATCTTTGCTGCATTTATATGCTGGAACCTGATGTCCCCACCATAATTGCCTAGAAATGCACCAATCCCTGCTGTCACTAGTCCAGTTTTGCCACTGCTTTATAAAGTTTTCTGGTCGTATTTTCAAATCACCTTTCTCAACAACTTTTGCAGCTCTTTCATTTAACGATTGGCATGCCAGAAACCATTGTTCTTTTGGCAAATACTCTATTACATCACCAGTTCGGCTACAAATAGGCAGAGACATTTGGTGCTTACTCACTGACTTAAGAAGTCCAATATCATTAAGATCTTTAACTAGAACTTCCCTGCAGTCATATTTCTTCATGGAATTATATTTTCCAGCGTTTTGCATACATCCATTTTCATCAATTACTTGTAACAATGGTAACTTGTGATGCTTAGCTATAGTATAATCTATTCTACTGTGGGCTGGTGTTATTTTCACTGCACCAGTACCAAAATCCATGTCAACAAAGGTGTCAGATATTATAGGTATTGTCGCATCCTTAAATGGATGAACTACTCTTTTCCCTTGTAGATGTTTGTACCTTGAAAATACAAAATATTACATATAATTATTTGTTGTACATCTAATGCTTCAAGAAATATGGTTTATCTGAAATCTTTTAATTTACCTTTCATCATCAGGATGAACAGCAACAGCTGTATCTCCCAACATAGTCTCTAACATAGTTGTAGATACAACTATTTCTTCATCACTGTTGTATACTTTATATGCAAAATTATAAATTAGACCAAATTTAACTGGTTTTGCATAACCCGGTAACATTCTTTCTGTGACCTCTGTTATAGGAATATTATCTACTTCAATATCAGATACAGTTGATTTTAGAGCATTACACCAATTCACAAGTTCTTTCTTTCTATATATTAAACCTTTGTGAAATAGATTTATAAATGCTGAAGTAACTGCATCGGTATGGTTCTCATTCATTGTAAATACTTCTCGTGACCAGTCTAATGAAGAGCCAAGCACTCTGAGTTGGTTACAAATATTGTTTCCATGTTTATCTTTCCATTTCCAAACCTCATTTATAAATTTGTCTTTGCCTAAAGAGTGTTTACTGGTATTTTGTTTAGTTAGAAGATATTTTTCAACCACACCCTGAAATTTTTTTAAAGAATGACTTATTTTCTGTTGTACAGGGCATAACCAGAAAACAAGAATTCCAACCATATTGTATATTTTACCTGTGTTGCAATACCGGCGTGGTCTGTGCCTGGTAGCCACATTACATTATATCCCATTGACCGTTTCCTACGAGCAATTACATCTTGTATTGTGCATGATAATGCATGCCCTGAAATTATCAATGATATTGCGTTTACATTAATATCGAACCACCTTGCTCAATGGACCAATCATGACCCATTACTAGATTATAATCCTAGTGACACATCAAAATTTTGGTGCGACCAGCAAATGTAAATAAAACTTATCAGTAAAGTAAAAAATGTGTATATACCCCGTGACATGTAACTTTTGTACATAGAAAAATTTCAATGCTAGTATAACTGATGTCATCAGTGACACAATTGCTCCAAAAAAAATGCTTTTACTCATGAAGGATATTAACTAACCTAAATGCAGTTTTCCAGTAACATTTGGGGGTGGTAGAACCATACTGAATACAGGTTTGTTATTCCCCACATCGGCCTCAAAACGTTTGGATCTCTCCCATTTTTCATATTTATCTTTTTCTACAATACTTGGTTTATATGCTGTACAGGATAGTGTTTCTCCTGGAACTATTCTGGAAGTACTTGATAATCTTGTGTTGTAATAGGTAATTAATTGACGATGCTTCCGAATCATCCTCGGCTTAATATTGTTTTGTTTATAAATAATATATTATTGATGATGAATAAATAAATTAGAAATATATTTGAATAATTTAAATCATACAAATACTGTATATATGAAATTTCTTGCGAGACGTTTTCAGCAACGAATAACGATCACTGAGACACTATATCAAAAAGCCTTAAAATTTTTAATTCAGGATTTGTTTATTATGGATATTTTACTAGTAATTATTAGTATTTAAAAATTCAATGTATACAATTTAAAATCCCACATTTTACGATATCTGTGGTTCACATTTGTAAGTTGTGATTGATAGTTTGTCAGTTTTGACTTCACACAATTGACATATGCCTACTATATAATTCGTTTCTATTCTACATATGCTACATACACACAATGTTATTTGTATTTTTTTGTCTCTTAGTCCCATAGAAAGGAGACTAATTCTATTTAATATTCAAGGATATAGGAATGGTATCAAGTTAACTGATGTAAATAATAAAATTCTAGGTCTCTCCTAATATTACCTACTATCAACGGTGAACTCTCCGATAATCGTTATTAATTAATATATTTAAACTTATCGGTAAATCATGGTCATACTCTGCTTATCATCTAATTCGTTGATAAAATAGCATTGAATGTTATCTAGTCGCCAGATTCTCGGTTCCGTTTCCTTGACCGTTTGTATCAAAGTCATTTTCTAATAGGTGCTGATAGAAAAATGTCGCTTTTCTTTTATTTAAACCCGTTCAGGGTATTTCGAGATTTCGTTCGCACTCCCGTTGAGTCTTTTGTAACAGATCAATATAACGGATATAAGAAAAAGACAAATGATAGTATAACTAGTGTTAAGGAGTTATTGTACAGAGCAGGCATTTTGCTATTGTTTTTCTCCGCTATATTGTGGATATCTGTGTTTATGTATATAATATTTTATTACACATATATGCCAAATGTAACTCATGTGAGGCCAGTACATCTTCAATTTAAGTAAGTATGATATATAAATAAATTTGTAATGTCTTCATTTTCAATATTTGTATGATTACATTTTCCATCTACCTCCCTCGATTTCTCCAATAATTTTTAAAGGTGCAGACGTTTTTCAAGTTGTTCATGCATTATGAATTGTATAAAAGATTATTTTATTTCAGATCATGTGAAGATCAAATGGGACTGTGTTCATATCCATATGCGTATGTACAGTTAACGAAGGGTAGTTATGTCTTAATGTCTGGTCAGCCATACAGAATTAAGTTAGTAATGGATGTTCCTGAATCACCAACTAATAAAGAACTGGGTATGCTCTGTTCCATCCAATGTAATGCTTGCATAAGCCTATCACTGTAAATATATATTAAAGGCTATATATCCCTATTTATGACCTCTCTGCTGTTTATATTTTAACTTCGCTTGTTATTTATATTGAGGTAGAGAAAATATCCTCTGTAAAGTGGGAATGGGTATTTAAATCACCTATGTTTCTTTTGGTGTATATATAGAAAATAATAAAAAAATATATTAACACTTTTAGGCATGTTCATGGTGTGTTTGCAAATGCGCGCTAAGGGTGGAACTCTCATATCTTCATCATGCCGTTCAGCTATGCTTAGCTACAGGTGATGATAATAATGACTATCAAATTTGTATAATTTCTTAAGCTTATTTCTATTATAACTGTTCATTATAATTTATTTTTTCTTGTAGATCGAAGTTACACTATTATATCCGCACATCTGTATTCTCTCCACTCTTTCTCCTAGGAATTGGTGATGAGAGGCAAGAAATACAAGTTGAGCTATTTAGTGACTTTCAAGATGACCCAGTGAGTTTTTTTATATATTTTGTGTCAGAATGAATAATATTAATTTTAAATATATAAGCTCTTTATAATACTTGGATTACTTGGATACAATTTGTTTCCAATTTATAAAACTAATTATTATATTTATTATTTAAACTATGTTTGTAATAATAATGTAAAAAACTTTGCAGTAAGATTAATGTATTCAAATATAACACTTTAACTGCAAAGCATCCGAAACATCGGCCATAGTTAACATAATTTTCAAATAAGTTTAACTATACAATTTTCAAATAAGTTTAACTAATATACCTATGTCGCGTTTTATTTATATGTGTATAAGTTTAATGTATACATTTTACAGAACAGTCCCGTAACAGATGCATATGTGGAACTGCAGTCCCGGTTTGTGCAAGTGCACACTTGCTCTATGCTCATAGAGGCCCACTTCTCAGGACTTCGGTATGCCATGTACTACTGGCCACGAGCTTCGGCTTTGTGTGGTGAGAAATAATATTTAAGAACCTCTCCTAAAACACAGACAATAACAATGCTACATAGTAATTCTTATTCTTTATGATAGATTCGAACCCACGATATCTGCCACCAGGCCCTATAGTTTATAGAGTCAATCTGTTTTGTACATTTCTAATCTTTTTTTGGATTCATTGAAGAAATTTGGACGCAAGCGGGATTTGAGCCCCACAATCACAGCGTACTGAGATGTTGCTCGCTAGTGTTACCTTTTTTGTCTAAAATGATGTTGAAGAACTCACTGCGAACCAGCAATCTGAATAATATTTAAATTTTTCTTTATGACGACACTTGGTACTATAGGCATAATACTATGATGGAGCATTTTTGTTTTAAAAATAAAATGTCACAATCATAGTGTACCAGCTGTTGCTCTATAAACGGTGTTAGGGTTTAAAGTCGAGGATTATTTTAATTAATATAATATATCTTGTGCATCACAAACGACCTTTCTATAGCTCCTTGTATTAAACGTATTTGCTTGTAGACTTAATTCAAAAGAGATAAATGTTTAGTTTGAAAATGCTTTATATTTTTCAGGAATATGCACAAATCTCTTCTTTACTTCCCTTATTTTTATATTAAGTTGGTATCACTTGCAAGATGGGTTGCCAGAATTTATAAAGGTAGGTTTCAATGTTTTTTTTATCAGAGACTTATCTTGGATCGAGTCCGGAATCATGAGACATATTGTTTCAGAATAAATTCGGGACAGAGATTAAGAGTGAGTCAGAAGATGAAAAAAAGTTCACTGGGAAAGTTAAACTGGAACGTGAAGGTAAATTGATTTTGCAAACTTAAATATAATTATTATAATATATTATTAATTGAATTATAATTGCTATGTAACCATGACAATCGCAATTGTTTAACATAATTGCGCCTAGGATAGTAGTCAGTTTCAGTTAGATACCAGTGAAATACACAAATCAGGCTGCTAGAGCCAAAGTGGCCTAATCACAAAAAACACAAGACTTCATAAAGAGGAAATAAAAAATGCGCAATTAACTTAGGCGAAAATGAATATGTCCTATTATTTGGGTAAAATTATGTTAACAATTTTCGGTCACTGTGTTCTTATAGATAAACATTTTTAGACTACAAATGGATATGAATAGGTGAAGTCATAAAATTGCAGTTAGGCTCTAGTGGCCTCAAATGTTTTCGACGGATTTTTCAGACTCACTCATATAACTGTTATCATTTGTCCAACAGACTCATTTCCGTTTATAGAAGAAGAGGCGTTACTAGAAGAATATAAAAAAGAGATTGAAAAGAAGAAAACTTAGAGTGTATTCTTGGATGTTTTACTTCGACTTAAAATGTACCTAAAAGGTTTTTAGACTGAAATTAATAATTAGAATGTTTAAGAAGCACAAAAGGCTGATTTATTTTCTGTTGCATAGCTATTTAAATATATATATATATAATGTATAGTTTTAATGTCATCAAGAGCTTACTTGGAAGAGCAGTTTATACAAATAACATTTTTGTGATTTCTTCTTATTAAACACAAATGTATTCACTATAATTAGTAGGTATTCATTCACGGTGCAAAGAATTTTTATGCGCAGAGCGACATTTGAGTTATTGTTATGTTTAGCAAATATTTTTGTATTGGGAATAAACTGTAAAATATTTATCGTTATTTTATTAAAGGTTTATAATCGACTTTAAGAAAAGAGGTTTCTGGGAGAAATAGTTTAAGTTTAAAAATAATTTTCAAATAAGTTTACCTAATATATATCGCGTTTTAAACCGTTAGTGTTTTATTTAAATGTATTCTACTCGCGTAAACTACATTATTATTTGTTGATATGCCCATAATCTACTTTACATTCAACGATCTCACTCCTTAAGACTAAAGGCCAGATGGTAAAAAATCTTTTAAAAAGAATTAATAAATTATAGATTATTTTTGTCTGTTTTTGGCCTAGTGGTTAGTATAATTTTTACGATGTTCTGGGTTCGAAATGTTATTTCAATAATTTTTTTACGTAGCCCGAGTGGTTGGAGAAATTCGACGATGCCGTGTGGCCACGATGGCTTATGGTTTAAGCGGCACTGGACGTGGTGGGTCTACGGGTCTACTCCCACCCTTGTCGCCAAAGTTTTTCAATTAACCAGTTAAAAGCCAGTGTTGTTTTCAAAATTTTGTTTATTTCCGTTTACCGCCCCGCTTTGAACAATAATTATACCACTATGGATGATTGGTTACGGTAGATTACACAAACGTTTAAGCTACGTTTATACGTTGATTTATATTTTATGTACAGATTCGATCTCAATACCTAACCTATGGAGGTAAATAAACACAAGTGTAAAGATATACATTTCAACAATATATATAATATAGGATGATAAATTTGACAATAATAGGTTGTAAAACGAGCATAAGTTTTCGATTTCATCTCGGAAAACCTATAAGCATTTACATAAAACACTTAACGGTTTAAAACGGGAAACGTCAACGGCTAAGTGTTTTATTTAAATGTGTACTACTCGCATGAACTACAGACAATACTTATTCTTTAAGCAAATAGGTTATATAATATACCGCCCCTTTTGTCAAACTTATCAACCTATATTAGGCAAAGTGTAATAAACATTATGAAATGAAAATTTATATGCACTCATTATAAGGATCAAACAAATTTTATTTACCTAAAAAATATAAGAAAAAAGTATTATTCAAAATAAAGTAAACACTGTAGGAATAATAAAAAATAACTATTTACAGCAGAAAAAACTGTCTATCATAGCCTGATGATAATTTTGACGGACTAATCCTTTGACAATTAACAATATATATTTCTAGTTATAAACTTTGCTATCGCCTTCAATGTACGGGAAATTAGTAAGCACCTAATATATATGTATTTGGGAAATCATTTTATGCCCCAAATACATATATATTTAGAATAACCTAATAATTTTTTTAAAGGTTTAAAATTTAAAAAAGCTAATGCAGCCGAAAAAAGTCTTTTTTTTTTTTGGCAATGATTACTTGAGCTTCTTTTCACAGTTAGTACGATTTAAGGGACTCAATTCTGCTATTTACAACGACTCGACACTAGTAGTGGCTTTTGCATTTAATATTCTACTAACTCACTTCACTAGCGTCTCGACAGTTCGTTCGTGAATTAACAGAATTGTATCCCGGGCTTCGTCAATGTCATCTACTCGATATGTGCCTCTTGTCTTAATAATAAGTCTTTTCGGTTACAATGTTGCCAGGACTGTTATTCAACTAGCCGTAGATGCGTATCGTGATAGCTCGGGTAACACCATCCCCACCGCCTGGAAGAATTGTGCGATCTAATGTTAGCGTATTTTAAACACCGTTCAAATATTGCAACATGCAGTTAGTAAATTTAAACAGTTTAATATTATTAACAAGGAAGCTCTACAACATTGAAACTTTAATATTTTTGTCAAGAAAATCAGACTAAACAAATTTATAACGTAAATAAAACACTTTTAAATTGATAAAAACCGCAAACTTTAGTAATTTAATTCTTTCACACAAAGCCCAAACCCACCACCCATAATACTAAAATGAACTACAGTTACAACTAACTTTTAAAATATTAATTAACAGTATTAAATCTTTCCTTAAGAAACCATCAATGGATTAGACGAATCCTTTCATATATGTATTTATAACATATGTGACAGCTGGTAACTTTAAGCTGCTATATAAAAAGCTTGTCATTTTTAAACAAAGAGAACAAACCTCATTGTCTCCTCTTTCTTCATCACTCTGGTACTGGACATCTAGCTCTGAACTATTGACACTGTTCTCCCAATCCTCTGATGACTCTATTGATGATGCATCAATCTCCATTTCTGAACAAATAATAAATTATTCTTCCGAGTGCTTAAAGAAAAATTTTAGGTATACTCGAAAGACAAAAACTTGTCTTTAAAATTTATTTTTTCTAACTTGGCACTTTTGGTAAACCACTATAAATTTACACGAAGTCGTAATTTTCTCACAATGTTTACATAAAAAAGCCTAAAAATGATTTTACGTAAATACATAGATTAAATTTCTTTACTTTGACATTTAAATAAGGATGGACGTAAGTAAGCAAAGTCAACGAGGATAGAAGGTAGATGTCCCACACAGGCATGACAGCTAAAAATGGATTTCTTTAATCCCTGTGTCATCTGTAGCAACAACTTCACTCTATAAAAGGCCAACAGTAGTTCTCTATGGTTTGAAATGGCCATATTTGTGTGGTCTTTTGCCAAGCTAGAAAAAATACATTATAAGTCTACTTGATTTACCTACCAAGGATTAAGTCTGGATGTCTTGGTGCTGGCACAGCTGGTAACCTTAAAGCAGTAGCATTTACAGCTAGTGCTTGTGCAGCAATTGCACCCCCATGTTGTGGCCTGCTACTCGAGGGGGAGATATCCTGTGATACTGATGGTAAATCATCTGTGTAGCGCACTAGAGGATGATCCTAGTAGAAAAAGATTTAAAAAATTAAAGGTAGGTCTTAAAGGGTATAGTAACACTTGGCAAAATACAGAAGCATCTATATATGGGGGCGGATTTGAATGATGTATTCTTCCGAAAATTTCGTTCTACTACATTTTTTTCTGTTAGAGGAGGACAGACAAGCATGGGGTTCAGTGGATGGAGGACCCCCAAATAACATCTACACAAGATGCTTGTTGACCTATAAAATTAAAAAAAAATGACCAACCTTAGCCCTGTCCCGACGGAATTTGATTTTTCCACCTTATTTCCAGATTTCAGATGAAGTCTAACATGTTTCAAATTTTTTGAAACCGTTGGACCTCTTTGGAACCAGTGGGGATTGAATCCCCCAGTTGATTATTAGCCACACATTGTTGGAACCATGACCCTCATATAAACCACATTTATGGCTGCAGGTGCCCCATTTATCCAAAATGTTATTATATGGTTCTATATTGTAATATTAAAGACATGACAGTTTGAGTAAAGAAAATGACAAGCTATAAAAGAAGTAACAGCACGGAATGCTGACAATGCCAGTTCAAGTCCTGCCCGAGTCAAAATTTTTTTTAAAAGATAAAAAAAGTATAAAGAGTTTAGTATTACAAACCGGATGTGAAAGTTCACAAATGGGATTGTCTCGCAGATCAATCATTTCCAGTAGTGTCATGGAGTTGGTGCTGAAATTTTCTGGCAAACTGGATATCTAGAAAGCGTAATAAACAAAAGATTTAATGTTTATTAGATTACAAAATCTAATAAAAAACTTCTTTTATTTTAGTTATTGTTTTAATGTGTAATAGGTGTAACAACAATTATATCTAAGATTTCTGTGTCTTGAGTCTTCTATTTTATATACATACTAGTAATATGTTGGCATGCGGAGATGGGTGGAATAGTCAACAAATGATGTGGACTGATCATCCAGCCTTCTATCAGTGTCCACAAAAGAAAATAATAATAATAATACGCTGGCTATGCCATTGTGAGACTATTGCAAGTTAGGATCTGCAAGACCTCTATTACGCATTTCATAAAATATCTAATTATACTGGTCATGGTCACTACTACAATATGCCCTTGTACTAGAATTAAAACCCTGAACTTTTTTCTATTGGCAAGAACCTCTCACTTGGCACATAAAAGAGTCATTTTTTATTGTAATACAAAATCTTACCTGATTGTTATTTAGTTGTAAAAACATCATATCGACACATTTCAGAAGTGAGACTGGAAACTCTTTTAGCCTATTCCTTCTAAGATTACAATGTACTATTGCTTCCATGTTATGTAAACAGTTTGGCAGTGTTTCTATCTGGTTGTTTTCTAAGGTTAACCATCTGAAATATAATCAAAAAGCTAATTATCCTCTGTAGTTTAAGCGAGGCTTACACATTTAAATAAAAGACTTTTAACTGTATAAAACTAAATATATTAGTATAAAAACAGTTAGTTTAAAGGCTACTACAAAGCTTCAGAAATGTGGTGCCATGGTTTAAATAAATTGTAAATAAGTTAAGTTATGTATTTAATAAAAAAAAGTTAATTATTTAAAGATTGGAAACAAGTTAATTTAATTGGGGGGGCAGAACACTCCACTTTGGAATAAAAGAAATATAAGCACATAACGATAAAATATATATAATAAGCTTTCCATATGAATGGCAGATTCACACAGTATTTAAATGTTCACCAGTTGGTGAGCATTTAAATAAAAATACTTTTTAAAATTAAGCAACATGCATTATGAGCAAATTCAATAAATATTAAAGAGAATTAGAGGGATATATAGAATTGAACATTTCGCAAGAACTCAATCTTGAGACGCGAAAATCACCACGCATAAGAGATGGATAGAACATACCGTAGTTTAGTTAACCAGGTCATCTCCTCTGGTATAGTTTTCAATTCATTGCCTCTTGCACCAAATGTATCCAATTTCGATAACTTGCCGATCTCTTTTGGAATCTCTCGTAAACCAATTTTATTACACCAGAACGCTTCTAAGTTCTCCAACTCACCGATTTCTGGTATTAAAACTTTTAACGGGTTATAACTAATGTTCAAGTTGACGAGGTTTTTTAAATTACCTATTTCTGCTGGCAATGAAGTTATGTTGTTGTAATCTAAAGTTAAAGTAGTTAAGTTTAGTAGCTCCGTTATTTGAACTGGCACTGTTGTTATATTATTTAGGTGTAAATAAAGATGTTCGAGTTCCAAACAGGAATACAGCAGTAAGGGAATTTCTGTAATTTCGAACGAATTTAAGCTCAAACGGGACTTTTTCTTTGCGATCGCTTGTTCTATAATTGCCAATATGTGGTTTTCACGGATGAATTTCAGTATAGCACTCATTTTGAGCTTAAATTTAGTCACATTTCTATTGCGTGTGAAATTTGTTTGCTTTTGTACAGTGGTCTACGTTGTGACTTTGACATAAATGGTTCGTATTCGTAGGTGTCAAAATCACCTGATAAGCACAGCCTTTGTTAAAAAAAAACCGATGACAGTTTGTATACTCTGTGCTTTTTTTGTTAAAGTTTTAGGGATGCCAAGAATTATAATGTTGCTATTTGTTGTTATATTTTCTACCAAACGCTTTCAACTACCTACACGTATTATTAAACAATGTATTTCCAACTAAACGAATGAGAAATGATGTTGATTTTTTCTTATTGTCAATGATATAAAGAAAACTATATTACATATACTATCCTCTGAATACTTGTGGCAGACGTGAAATGGAACCGTCACAAGCAATCGATTTTTCCGAGTTGTGATGTCTATTTTTCGAATATAACACAAACAAAAGATAAATAAATAATCGTGCATTAATAAAGGGTTGGCTAGAAAAAATACTGTGCGTTAACCATTTTCACATTTTTCATTATGCGCAATTGCATTTCAAAATTAACACTTGTTACTCTAACGTTATACTATGCATCTTTAAATAATGCGTTTGGTAAGTACTATTATTATTTATAATACCTAATCCTTGTAGAATCATTGAATATTAACGTCAAATGTTTTTATTAAAAACTTTCCAGCCTACCAGCAGAATAGATCTTTCCACCACACCAGAAGACAAAACTATGATAATTTATATATTCCTCAAAAATTAGGGACATATCGTTCATACCAGCCTGTGATAGAGCACAAACCCACTTACATTAAAGCCGATGACCGTAATGACTACGATTTAAATTCATACGACTCCGAATACGGAGTTGTTCTGTCAAATTTTACATCTTCCATATACGACGATAATCCACCGTTATATCCAAATCCAGATTTGATTACCAACAATAATCAAGGTATGATAAACGGGAGAAATATGCATGAGTCAATAATTTTGAATTTATCTAATCGCTGCTACTTTTTAGGAACTTTAAAACAATTGCCTCAAAAGAAAATACCGGATTCAGATATAGATTTACCTGATGACTCACTGGCGGATGTCGATTTGAAGGAACACAACATAATAGACAGTGTCACTTATGTTTATGGCTTTAACAGTTGCCACGGCATGAGGGATGAGTGGATGGTTTTGGTAAAATTTGCGAAAAACGTGAAATAAGTTTTTTTTAATAATAGAGGAGGACCGGCATGGCATGAAATTCACTTGATAGTAGGTGATAGACCCCAGCCTATTTTCGCTTTGGATATTCGGAAATCGACAGACTGAAATCGAACTGGTTCCTCACTCGGACTGAATTGCTATATTCCTACCACCGAATTAATATCCGAGTTTCCAGACAAGGTCCAGCCTGTTACAGAAAAATTATAAATTCAAAAACTGGTGGGGATCGAACCCGCGACCGGTTGATTATAAGCCATACATTGCTACTATTAGACCAACAAGCCCGTTAAATATGTTTTTCTTATATTTATATCGCAAGTTATAACGAAAATTTTACGTTATTTCAGATTTATGTGACCAGTGGTTTGGCAGTTTTATTTCCGATTGCATCTGTCATGTGGCTGATGTGGAGTGAGTGTGCTGCAGACTTCAGGAAAAACAGCAAATTATACCCGATTAATATCAATCTTTGCTGCTGTTTAGCGGCTTGTACACTAATTTATATCCAGGCTGCTGTGGTCAGTGAAATGCTTGTCTTAATTTATCACTTTTATAATAGGAAAAAGATTTGCACTACGTAACGTGTTACGTCCCATTCGTTTGGCTTTTTTTGCTGCCTGCCTGCTGGCTGCCATTATATAATATAATAGTAGCAAGAAGTATAATAATATATAGTTTAGCAAAGATCCAAGAGACGAAAGATTAACAGTGCACATATTAAATACTTGACTTATTTTTGACTACGACCCGACCGTCCTTCCGACCGATGATTCCCACTTGACAACATCCGGTGCAAAGCATTCGAAACGTCCGCGTCGAATTGTAGTTTAAAATTAGTTACCTAATAATTGTCGCGTGTTTTTAAACTCTAAGTTTTAAACAAAACATGCAAATCTTTTTAGGGAACATCATCTCCGTCGCAATGTGAAAGGATAGCGTTGCTGCTACACTATACACATATTACGTGTGCAGTGTGGATTGTTGCTTTGGGTGCAGCTGTAGCTGAATTCTGTACGTGCGATACGCTGTTGCCATTAAAATACAATTATCTTCTCGCGTATGGTATACCGGCTATCGTCGTTATGGTAAGACTTGGCAAAAATTGATTTCTTTGACAGAGGGATCAGCCACCCCAGCCATTCAGAAATTGATAGACTGAAACCGACGCGCGAAGCGTATAATTTTCGGGGCGTTTCGGGCCGAAAGTCCAAATTTTTCGTTTAACATGTTTTAGCTAATACATTGTAGGTATTTTTGATTTGGAAGGAATATAACCGACACCGATTTGATTTAGCCAGGCTTTTGACAGGCTGTCAAAACTAACGATATTATCAATTTGCAGTTCAACTATGCACTTTCGATGGAACAGTATGAAATAAAACATTACTGTTGGATGTCCATAGAAAAAGGCATGGTCATGGGATTTATGATCCCAGCGATGATTCTTATATTAATCAACACGGCTATCATAATAGTCGGATTGCAAAGTGTCAATAGAAAACAAAACGAAATTATAACGGCAAAGATACAAGATCTCGTCGACCAGCATCTGACCAATTGGTCGAAGAGCGACAATGCGGGTAGTTCGGAAACTTTGAACAACGCCTGTACGCCACTCCCGAGTAGAAAAAATACAGACAGTTCAGATACTATCGATCGGGATTCTAATAGTAATGACGAAGATAATCCGTATATTACAGTAACAATGGGCGATGGTAACAGCGAAGAAGGACGAGAGGTAGTTGAATTTTTTACAATTAGCTTAATTTTAAGTGAAATTTTCATTAAGCTAATTGCACGGTGCTCTTGTAGACATTTTTAGACTATCAAAATAAAAATAACTCAAGTCATAAAATTGCAGTTAGGCTACTCTGCCTCTAGCGGCCTCAATTTAAGTACCTACGCAAGTCTTATTTTCAAAAATTTCAGAGTAAGAGAATCTCCGACAAGCACCTAATTAACTTATGGAAATCAATGGAAAAGTTGTCATGGAAGAACGGTTGGAATATAGAAGGGAATGATTTGAAAACTTACCTTAACCTCTGTTTGATCCTGGAACCGTTTTTCGCTATTAACTGGGTAATGGGTGTGGTTGCTATAGAAAATGCTACGCATTGGTCTACGCCGACTATTTATCTAATTTTGGTCCTATCAATGGTAAGTATTATATTAAAAAAAAATACGCCTACTTAAGCGCAATTACGCACTGTCTACTGGTCGCCGGCGACTTAGTCGTCAGTCGCCCAGGGAGCTCGGCGACTCACGGTCGCTAGCGACCAATAGAAGCTCGGTTTTAAATGGGAGCGTTCACACCGCGAGCAACTCTCGCGGTAAACGGACGTCACGCACAAAATGGCTTAGGACTTCGATGCAAAAAATGATATTGAAAATAAAAACCCAGAAAAGCAATTTAAGACGTACTGGCTTAAGAATGTTCTGATCGAGATTAAAAAAGATTTTCTCACGTCTACATAAAATACTTTCCATTTGATTTCCGTTCTTGTAACATAAGATGTACCCAACACTCTTTTGGTTTTATTTTTCTTTATTATTCGTAGCGTTAGTGATCTACGTCCATTCTGCACGAATGTACTTAGAATACTATCGCTCGACTGTCTCCTGGTTCGATTTTCTCTGTTTTGGTCGCCGGGCGACTGGTCGACAGTGCGCAATGGTTCTTAACACTTGTTTAATTTGATAATTTATTTTCAGCACATTTATCTAATGGCTACGATATGCACAACATTGCCAATTGTACAAAAGATATCACCAGCATCATGCACGGAAGTTTCTACTGAGCCTACCATTGTCAGATCTAGGTAATAAATATTTACTAATATGTAAAGCTGAAGAGTTTGTTTGAACGCGCTAACTTCTTTTGTGTTAGTTAGAGCATTTATTGAGGAAGACTATAAAACATAGCGCTGTGACGAATAACAGCGGGAAATGTCGAAAAACGGAGAAAATTTTTAATTCTATTCTATTACGAATTTAGATGCTCAAAATAACGATTCTCGCGGACCAAGTCGCTCACACAGCTAGTCCCAGATGAAATTTTCAAATGTACTTTCGATAACGAAATTAAAAATAGAACATTTTTAGTGAAGTTTTAGTTGTAATACATAAGTAATAATTAATTTATAAAGAAAATCGTGTTTTTAGGACAACGGATAGTATTCCACTTCTAGATCCAACCGTACAACAAGCCAATGTGACGCCGGCGCCTATCGATACCATTAGTACCATAAGTATCTAAAATTTCAACTCCTACGCATAAACTGGTACATGTTCTATAATCAATGAATTGAAATTCATTGTGATGGATAGTCAGAAAGTTGGGTATTTTGATCGATTTCAAAAATGGTCGAGTTAAACTTAATTAAATTGCGAAATAAATGCACAAATTTATGTGATGTTAAAAAATACGATAAGCCCCCTAAACTAGTTCTAATTGTCTATATACATTCCAGGATACAAGGTTAAAAATTTTCAGTGTATTAAACTTGTCTTTTAAAATATAGAGTGGCCTATATTTGAAATTATCAGTAACTTTTAATCAAATGTTGAAATAAGTCTTTGGGATTTTACTTCCTACACTGCCGTTTTAAAATGTTATTTTCTTACAGCGCTTTCTAATTCTGGTTCTGGATAGAAATAATTATCACCATGTACCTACAACACATAGTTGTATGTTTGTTTCACAAATCTACGTTACAGGCAAGTAGATGATTATTTTCTATGCTCTGGCAGGCGAAACTATTCTGCCCCAAGAAATCAAAATATGAGATTTTGCTTTAATGAAATTTACACTTCAACGCAGTCAATAGTCAGAGTAGACACACTTAAATGGCCGTTTAACGTATGCTTATACTAAAAACTACTTAACAAAATATAAATCTACTTCTTATCTTTGCATCCGCGTAGCGAGTTTTTCAAATCAGATTAAATCGTTATAGTAGATATTAGATAATATTGACTACTAATATTTTATCATTTCTATTGTAGGCTAACGTTAAAAATATTAATATCGGGAACGCGGTTGTATAATTCAGCTCGGCTGTATGGTGTGAGTTCTATTACTTATTTAAATAAAGTAGTGCTGACGGGCCAATTTTTATTTTTATTTTTAGAAATACCGTAAATGATTTGTTTGTTTCAATATGTACCAAATCTTTGCACACCTTATGTTTAACATAAGGATGACGGTTACATCATATCATTGTTTGGTCGTAGGGTCACAGATTTTCGAAGATAAAAGCGCATTAAAGCTACCAAATAACTGCAATTTAGACCAATTTGAGAAAAACAACTGGTTCCCGTTATGAATTAAAAATTATGTCTCATTAAAGCTTATTAAAATGTTTCGTTGACGTCAATGACTAAGTTAGCAACTAGAAAGATCTATGTTCTGAATATAATTCTACAATATTGTAATAAGAATCGAAATATCATAATTTATAACTGTTTTTTAAGAATCGTTTTAATTTATAAGCAATTTTAAATTCTATAATGCGTTATATAAGTTAATCGGTATTTTTATAAACTGTTCCTAATCTTAAATAAAATTTTGATCTCATTGTTACTAATTTTTCAATAAAGATATTGTTGGTTTCATTTGTGTTATATTATACAATTTATTTCAAACAAATCAATCACCCATGACTCATTATGCTAGTTAGACAGGATGTTAAGTTTTTATTCTAATGGTAGCAATATATAGCTAAAAAATTAGCAGTGATTTTATATCCACCGTTAGTCATAAATTTATAATTTTTCTGAAACATATTGGACTGGAATTCTGGATATTGAATAGGTGGTAGGAATATGGAAAATTCCGCACGGGTCTCGAACCACCGTCGACAGATAAAATAAAGCTGAAATTGGTGGACTACACATCATGTTAAGCTGTTATAGGATTAGGGTATTTCACCATAGCATAAAAAGCCTGTCTACCCGCACTTAACACTCATACAATTTCTTAAATCCTGAACGAAAGAGAGACGGAGAGACAAATACTTTGGGGTCCAAAAATTAAACGAGCAATGTTCACTTATATCGAGTGTATTTCTGAATAAATTGGTTACAAAATACTTATCCAACGCCCGCTGGGTCCGAGCCGTAAGCGATCAGTTATCTCAAAATCAAATCTAGGCAATTGTATAAAAATCGTACCTTTTTACAATCTAATAGTATAAAAAGCCGACCGGCGCCTAACTCGTATTCAATAAAAAAAACAAAACACTGCATTAATTTAGTTTGAGCTTAACTTACTCTTTAGTTTATAGGAAAAATATAATTAGTATAATTTAAATTACTACTTAGACGATGCCTTATAGCTAGTTCACAGTCGGCCCGTCCTCAATGTAGCAAATCACTATACATCGCCGACTAGTTGACCGTTGTTGAAGAAGCGTAAGGACGAACGTAAATGAAGGAGAACCCATGCGTATCACTGTGCAAACGAGCCATAATGTCTACATCATCTGACGAACGGTTCCAGGTCATCCAGCAGTTATCTCCAATATGTGTTTGAGATATCACAACATTACCAGTTACAGATTATAGAATACTACAGATGATGTATTCGATAGCGTCGTTTCACGTCGGTCGTAGCGTAGAGGTTAAATAAATGCTGATTAATATTAATTAATTTATTGACGGTCCGTGGCGCGGAGCTTCTCCTCCACGGCTTCCTGGGAGGCCTCCGAGAGGTCAGTCGCTTGGATGTACTTTTGTACGCCCACGAGCGACTTCTTCAGCGCGTCGAAGGAGCTGGGGACAAGATAAACCTCAGTTAAAGTTACATTAAATAAACGCCAACAATAATCTATGCATTCCGTTAGATAAATTTTGTGAAAGTATTTCTTAACATTTGCTCTTATTGGTACTTAATACTTACTTTTCAAATATAATCTCAATAATGACTCCTGTGTCTAATTCTCTAGCTGATAATGTCATTAAATATGGCCACAAATTATCATTATCCTCTCTAATATAAATTAATTAAGCCGGAGCCTGTCTCAGTTATTATCTATCATCTCTCAACTAACTACAGGACACAATTCGTCTTTTTGCAAACTACATTTGTCGGGTCAGCTAGGAAAGGACTATGTATGACTTTCTTACACTTAACTATAGCATTTTACCAACTCACCTAGAGTACAACATCTTCTTCTTGACCTTAGCGGTGTCTGGGCACCATGACATGAGGAACAACTTCTGTTTCTTGCTTGCCTCTGATGTGCCTTGACACTGGTGGGTGTATTCAAAGTCGAACAGGCCATATCTGGAAATAACAGATGGAATTTTACACACTGCTGCGTGAAAGTATGGTTCCTTTGGAATCATTGATATATTTTTTTAATAAAACACTAACGCCCGTTTAAAACGCGCAATATATTAACTAAATTTATTTAAAAATTATTTTAACTACGGCCCGACGTTTCGGATGCTTTTCAGCAGCAGTGGGAGAGTAAAGATGGAGAGTCTCTAATGTCAAAGTAAAAATTGCTACGCTTGTCACGATTTATGGATATATGTACCTTTATTGTTTGTGTTGAAATAATTGATATATTAATTAGTCCAATTCAGGCCACAAGCGGACAATTCACGTAGAAAAAAGAATAACGATCCATGTACCTAGTTACTTTTATTTACAAGCAGAAGGTCAAGGTATCACAACTTATAATAAAGCATTACTCAACAAAGTAACAAATGACACTTTACTATGTGTAGCTTACGCGTACAATACACGATGAAATATAACACTTTTAAACGGTTTTAAACTGGAAATATATAAGTTAACTTATTTTTAACTACGGCCCGACGCTTCCCCCTGTAGTAAAGCAAAGCGTCAAAAGAATTAAAAGTAAGTTAACTAAATAATCCTTTAAAACCTCTAATGTTTAAATGACACTTGTGTCTTTAACATAACCAAACGTTCTAGACATACCTGCATTCGCCGGTGCCGCCCTTCTGCAGATCCTCTAAGAACTGGTCGTACTCAGCGTTCCTTCCACCGACAGTCTCCACATCGATCTGCTTCTCATCGCGGATGTAGAACACGACGTACCGATGTTTCTTGTCCTTTTTGATTTCTTCGTATGTCGTCTTGCAAGCATCCGAAACTGTTACACCAGACGCCTGCAAAATATTGTGGAATTTAGTCATTGTAGCACTTTTTAAATTAAAACACTAGGACCCTCGGTTTAAAACCGTGTGTCTTGGGGACAGTTTTTAAGACAGATTTATGATTGTTTGAGAGTCAAAAAAAAAACATTTTGGACTTCGTTCAGGAAATCTGGATCTTACATGTTGGTCTGGTGGGAAAATGCGATAATGATCCAACGGGGTGTAAGTTCGGTAACCACCAGGTCCACATTGGATATCTGGATATTAAAAGCCGTAATAAAGAATCGCGTTTCGGTTCTACCACCAAACACGTCCGTGGATTTCCGAACTATCCAAAGCCAAAGTAGGTCGACAACGCTTCGTCGTGTTAGATGCTATAGGCTGGGTTATTACACCTACCATCAAGTAAACTCTACGCCATGTCCTCCTCTATCATTAAAAAAATCTATTTTTTCACAGAACCATGGCCACGGCAAAGCGTTTACAACTGACGCCGTGCAAATGATTCGATCTATTACAATACACGGGTGATTAAGAGCAATTAACAATAATAATCTCAATCTTCACGCATGTTTTAACACATATAATGTAACCGGTAAATTATAACTCAACGTGACATATAGCACGGCTGTCGGCCTATTTCACGTTTAATTTTAGCCGCGAAGTGGGGCTAACTTTTGAACTACAAATTTTCGATACATTTAGATATCATGAAGGCGTTTGTCAGTTAATATGAGTAAAAAGGACCCTCTTAGTATTTTTTCAAATCTACTATTTCACCATCGATTTTATACTGTAGGACATAGTTATTCATTTGAAAGAAATTTATTTTTATCTTTTAAACTAATCGTGAATCAGGGAAGAAAAGAAAGTCAATAGGTACGCAAACATTAGTATTCTATCCACTGAAAATAAATAAATTGAATTGGATTCAAGTTCTATCACTATCATTTATCAAAAAATGACCTTTAAGGCACAACCGGGAAGGTCAAAAGCGTCATCACTTGGGCAATGCGCCTGAACTTTCACGAAACAGAACTTTCGTGCTGGCTAGGATAAATGTCAGTGTGACTTACTGCAATTGAGTGAGCTCACTAGATACACGACCATTTAGTGTATGATCATGTGAGACAATAAAAAATAATTTAGTAATAAAACCACAAAAATATAAAATAGCAAAGAGATGTAGTTTCTTGTTTGAATAGTTATTACATAGTTAGGTTTAAAACGCGAAATGTATTATAACTCGCTGACAAATAACTTTTACCTAAGGCCCGACGTTTTGGATGCTTTGCAGCAGCTGTGTCACGGTGAGACCCCTCGTGTCACCGTGACTAATATATGTTTCGCGTTTTAAACCGTCAAAGTGTTTTATTTAAATGTGTACTACTTGCGTTAACTACAGACAGTAAGAAAACATTAATATTTTTCACATGTTATTGCACACGAAGGCACTATATAATTTAAAAATCGAAAATAAATTGAAAAAATTTTCGACTCGGGCAGGACTTGAACCGGCATCGTCAGCTTTCCGTGCTGTTGCTCTATCAATTGAGCTACTAGAAGAAACTAATTTAATTTTAGGCCAATTAGGTCCACTTACTATGTAGTTAGATTTAATATATTAAATGTGTTAAACAGAAAATCAGTATTTGGCATCGTTTCAGGAAATCTTAATCTCACATTCACAAAGTTTTCTCAACAACATTGAGTCTGTGGCGTCAATATTAGTTTGTTATAAAATATTTTAGCTATATACATTTATATGCGTTTTTTTTAATAAAACAGTTTACGGGTTAAAATGCGATATATTAGTTAAACTTATTTGAAAATTTAACTTCGGCTCGACGTTTCGGATGCTTTGCAGCAAGCAGCCGGGAGAAAGTTAAAAATCATTTTCAAGTATGTTTAACTAATATATCGAGTTTTAAACCGTTAAAGTGTATTATTAAAATGTGTACTACTCGCGTAAACTATAGACAGTATTTACATAATCCAGCATGTGATCTAACTTTGGTGCTAGCACATGGCAGTCATCATAACAATTTCGTCTTCACCTGTGATGCACGTGTCAAATGCACACAATATGTTGGGGAAGAACTCCGGACCATATAGACCAAAATGGCTCTCACGGTTTGACGTCACGTACCGTCAGTTGTTAAAAGTGTAGGGGAGTTCGAGTGAATCAAATTTTTTTAAGGATACTGTGTAATTAAAATACTTATAGTAATGATTTAGTCCTGATTAGGCAAAACCAAATGTTTTGCTCAAGGAAATAATTGATGACAGTTTTTGGTCTAAAAAATTAAAATTATTTCGGAACTTGGATATAGGAAACACTGTCTGAAAGGGAATTCAGGGCCGAAATTTTAACCACCATATAAATACTCTTAAGGGATTTTTTTTAGTAATTTAATTTTAATGTATAATTAATTGTTGACAACAATTAGTTTAACTTATTATATAGCGGTGGGCGCTTTCCCCTTTTTTTTTTTCAAAAACCTCCGGGGGGCCCCCAAAAAAAAAAATTTTTTTTTTTTTTTTTTTTTTTTTTTTTTTTTTTTTTTTTTTTTTTTTTTTTCCTTTTTTTTTTTTTTTTTTTTTTTTTTTTTTTTTTTTTAACCATTTGCAGGTGAGCCATACAAAAACTAAATTTGTAAGTAGGTTTTTAAGCTAATAATTTGATTTGATTAGAATACTTAAAAAAAAAAAAAAAAAAAAAAAAAAACGGTTTTTAAACGGTTAAGTGTTTTATTTTAATATTATTCATTTCTAATTGTCAGCTTAAACAAATTTTATCAAAACCGGACAAGCGGTGGACGTAAGGCAGTTTATCTCCTCTGGAATCCGTCATCATGAAAATCAACAAAAGACGGATACAGGCGCTGTGTGCTAACTAGTAACAGTAATTTACAAAATTACTAAAGCCAATCTTCCTTCGATAGTCAAGACCCCACAAATAGCTCTCATTCACGTACAAATCTACAATGAGAATATCTAAAATTGAGAGATGTACGGCATACCACTGCGTCGCATCGGAAAATAGATTCGAGACATTGGCCGTTCGTTTAAATATAGGATTTTACGTGCGCACGTGTTAAAAACTGAGCCTTTCTATACTATAACATAGCAATAGGAATCGCAAGTCTTTACGTATTGTACCCCGCTTACCCGAAAGTACTACACAGACCTATTCGAAGATTTTCGTAAATCGATTAAGTTTAGCTTGGCTGTAGTTTCGTTTAACTGTGATCGAAAGGTATTTTAAATAGCAAAATACAGAAACGAGTGAACACTTCTATACGAGAAAGCTAAAGAGTTAGATTAAAAGAGCTTATTTCGTAAACTATTGGATAGAATTAAATACTGTCTATAGTTTACGCGAGTAGTAAACATTTAAATAAAACACTTTGAACGCTGTTGTGTCATGCTGCGACCAATGGAGAAATGTAAAATATAAAATATGTATGAAAGAATGGTTCCTCTTGAAATGCCAGAACGCGATATCGTGGGAGCAGCTATAGATAAAGATACAAAGGTTTGCAAGAACTAATATTGTATGCCAAAATAACTTTAATACGCGGACAAAGAAAAGGGAGTGTACAGTTAGAATTTAAATGATTATTTCAAAAAGCAAGACTGTTTAATATCAATTGATTGTATTGCGATATCTTTGTTGCGATAACATAAATCCTTTGCTGATTGACATTTTTTTACATTTCTTTGATAAACAATTTTTTTGTCGAAGCCACGTTACAGATATTACGCGGGGCTAATTCGCAAATCTACTTGGATAAGAGGTATTCGCCCGTTGTAATTGTAAAATTGGTATGGACTTTTCGACATCACCAGAGGTTGTCATCATCACTCGAGGGTTCCTTAAAATATCAAATCGAGAACCACTAATGACGATGGGCGGACATCTCAAATATATTATTTGTAGAATTTTATACACATATAATATATGACCAACTATCGTAATTTTTAAATAAAATACCATTGACGGTTCGAAACGCGAAATGTATTCTATTATTTTTTAACTTCAGCCCTACGTTTCGGATACTGCAGCGGTGTTTTATTTGAATACACTACAGAAAACATCATAATTGATAAATCAAAACTATTTTAAACTACATATTATATTAATTTAGATGAATTAATGTTAGGAAAATGTGCCTTACAAATTAAGTCAATTATTTCAACATACAAAATACATTTCATCACTCATGCAACATTATTGATCTTTACGCACATACTGCACTAAAATAAGGTATGCTTTACACCATAGAAAACCTTGATACGACAGTTTTTATCTATATTACCCAAGTAAGGTTTCACTCGATCGCTAACGTCACGACATCAATAATTATAATTTGTGAGTCATTTAATTTCCAGTCACGCCTTACTGAATCACAAATGATCGCCTCACATGTCTAGGAGGTCCCAAGTTCGAATACGAGATCGGATGTATTTGGAATGTCAGAAATATGTTCATACCAATATTAGTACTGAAAACAGGTGTTATGATCTCCGTGTCTCAACGTACTAGTATTGTCTTTAGTCGTGGTAGTCTTTTAATCCTTTACAGCCTGATGGGTCTTAAATCCACTGTCTTAGACCCGTCGCGAGAAGTGGGACAAGCACGCTACCAAATGATATTTGGTGCTGTTGATTATAAACATTTACTAGTTGAAAATTGATACGAAACTTACAAGTTTTTATTAACAATTACTGTTTATCTCTAAATAATATCAGTAAATCAATAATCCAGAAGTAATTTAATGTATGCAATATGCTAATCAAAGTAAAAACAGCTTCTTTTAATGCAAGGGTCGCCAAAATCAATATGAATGAGTTCGTGTCGAGAATTTAGTACGTCGCACTGCGTCTAGTTCTAATTGTGCCGCTAAAAAGCTAAGTTGAAGAAAAATATTAGTTAACTTATTTGAATCAAAATGATATATATTTTTCACATTCATATTCATTATTTGTTCTAAATATTTGAGCTACTTGTTAAATAAAAGCGAAAAAAGAATATATTGAAGGATAGATCACTTTTTGCTGTGATCAGATTTTTGTTGACAAGACTGAGTTTTTTTATGTAAAAGACATCTGAGGTTATTTTAAAATTTACATACCTAAATAAAATTTATTTTAATTTACCTTATTTAACAAAATGATTTAAAAAAATTGTCCTTTAATGATAGTGTTAAAACAGAAATAAATTGAACATACAAATATAAAATAATGACTATTCAAAATCAGGCATATAATTTACTTCAACATTAATCACCAGGTTATTTCAAAGATTGGAAGGAAGCAGAGTTCATTGACCTCCAATAGTCAATAGCAAGTTCAATGACCTACGTTCAAAGTTAAGTTTTAGTAATTTTCTAGCTAAACTTAAAATCTATTAAAATCATCTGATTGATTCTTTGTTAGTTACCAGCATCAGTTATCAGCTTTTTGTGTCCCTTAATCCGAAACTGAATTCCTTCAGCTATAACCCGCATCAAAAATGTCAGCAGAGCTTGTATATTTGCAATTCTCCCTATATCTGGATGATAGTGTTCTCACAGTAGCTTACTAAGGAAGCAATTGAGGTACTGACCATAGATTGGACTAGTGTCGCTACCAATCTACATGTTTGGATTTAGCAGATTTTGGATAATTAATGTATATTTTTCCAGCAGAAAAACCCGAATACTACATGTTAATTTAAATAAATATGTATCTCTTTAAAGATTTGACAGAAAGAGAAGTATTAAGTTTAGAGGAAATAGCAGTTATAATGGTGGTAGCAGTAATTTTACATATAACAAATGTTAACTATAAGCTTTCACATTATTATGCTCTAATAACTTTAAGCACATTTTCATTTTATATGCAATACATATGTAAAATTATGTTATATAGTCTGTGAAATATCTCCAATTGGAGTGTAACCTATATACTAATATGCAAAAGAGAAAATTAGGTTAGTTTAATTATATTAATACCCTTAAAATCCTCTTAGTTGTAGCATTACTAAAAGTGTTAATTACTTGTTTTATCAATAAACAACTAATTATTGTGAAGGAAAACGATATCATTAAATTGTGTTCAACATAATATTAACTATAATTGGTATCAATATATGTACATAATGTGGCTTGTCTGATGAGAGAAAGCTAACAAAAAACATTTGTGATTCATCTGCATGATTCATGGTACAAGGAAATCGAGTTGTATAGGATTTATTGATAACGCCTGCAACCTTGGTCCTTGACACTGTTAGACCGTTACCCCCAGATGCTAAGACCTTTACGCCCCACAGTGTGACAGATCGAATCCGACCATATATGGTTAACCGTTCTACGTCTGCGCGGCATCGCAGTGTCCGAGTTCGATGCCCTTACCCAAAACTTTATGATAACTACGCCAATCGGCTGTCACAGCACCCGTTAAGGCGTTAATGGTAACCTTTCGTGAAACTCTACACCGACCTCTGACGTGTAATCTATGCACGGGAAATATAATCGATTAAGTACATCGGCCGAAACCGATGTAAATTCCGACACGTGGCATAAAATCACTGAACGGTGACAACTATTTCTCCGAAAAGGCGTGCGAACTCCGCAGAGGGGTTGTGCAAAATATGGCCGATAGCGGCACCGGTTTACGAACCGTCCATTTACTTTGTAATTTCACCATTTTAAACTTTTACACTGTGTCCAATGGAACATAACGCGCCGAAACTATGTACCACCGAAATTTAATATCGGCACTTACCATTTTTTGATGTTACACACGTAAAAATTGCACCAATAACTTCACCGACTTCACGACAACGGCGACCGGAACGACACTAAACTGGAATGTTGGCTATACCTTGTTACTTGACAACCAATGAGCGCATGTGTCAAAATTGTACAAGTTAGTCAAGTCACTTGCTTTATTTATATTTTCAGTGGAAATATAAAGCGATATTACAGGAATGTACAATTTAAAAACATCCAAGAATTTTTGGTGAACTAAAACAGTGTATAATATTTTTTACACGAATTAAATCGCCACTGGCCGTTTTATAAATGTCAATCAAGGCGACAACTTTTCAAAATACTACTGTCTCCGTTGCACTCTGAGGATGTCACTGTGAATTTTTGCTCTCAATGGCAATATTTATGGAGAGGCTGTGACGATAAGATAATTTTGCAAAAAGCACGGATGATAATGATGCTAAGATACTACTATTATCGCGAGTATTTACAGTTCAAGTCTACTTCAAATGTGAGTCACCGCTGACGACAGGACGTGAGCCAATCACGAGCGAGTATTGAATAAAATTCCATATAAGGACAGACGGAAACTACATCGCTGCGCGAGGTTTCTTTTGAATTTTACCGCCGATACATAGTACAATAACTTATTAACTTTCACTTTTGTACCCACATAAGTCTTTTAGAGTAATGTTGAAAGATTATTAATGAGTGGCCTGTTTATTCTCATAAATAAAACAATGCACCACATTTGTACCTAAATGGTTTAAGTTGTTGCCCGACATTGCGTTAAACTCGAGATGTCTTTAGTTCGAATCTCGGGGAAACAATAGATAAAATACTGTCTATAGTTTACGCGAGTAGTACACATTTAAATAAAACACTTTAACGGTTTAAAACGCGATATATTAGTTAAACTTATTTGAAAATGATTTTTAACTTCGGCCCGACGTTTCGGATGCTTTGAGCAGCCGTGGTCACGTTAAGTTTAACTAATATATCGCGTTTTAAACCGTTAGTGTTTTATATAAACAACAAACTCTTTGCCTCTTAAAATAAAACCGATCAGTGAAACGGACTCAGAAATGTGTTAAACCCAAAAGAGGAAAGAGGATTTTATTATATAATAAAAGGCCAGTGTGATGTGCATTCTCTTAAATAAAACAATAGAGTGTATAAAATATTTATTTTAAGCATTACCAACATATTTATGATATCTCTTGTACATGGTGTACATGTTTGTCAATGTAGTTTGACCTATAGACCCCGCTAAACAACGCCTTAAGAACGCCATAGCATGATTAGAATCAGACGCCTGTATAAGCAAGACTATGGAGTTTTCTATGTGTTGTCTGATGGCTTTTGGTGGGGGGGATTTTTCCAGCCAGAAGCAAAAGTCTGCGACGGCATAGGCTGCAATGCGCGAAACGTGATTTTTCTTTTTTGATATAGATTGCGTTAATCTGTAAAAAATAAAATTTGACAGTTTTAAAAGTGTATTATTAGACTTTAAAAAGTAAGATTTTGAACTTACTCTCGTAAATAAACGACTCTAAAGATGCTCTCAACTCTTACAGGATCATAAGACGGCCGAGAATAAATATGTGAATACAACACAATATTTAGCTATTGGGATAATTATATATTTTATATAAGTGTATATAATTCTGGTGGTGGTGTATAATTTTATACATTTTATTTTGACATTAATGAAAAAAATATCGAATAATAATTGAATAATCGATAACGATTCGTAAAAGGGTAAAATAAGCAATACTTACTTTTCAATAGAATGAGCGATTTCAGCTAATTTATATTCAATAGCTATTTCCACGTCTTCATTGTGGTATACCGATCTCTCACACAAGCAAAGGACTAATGTTTTGTAACACTGCATTAGACATGGCCACCTGTGAAATAAAAAAAATATAGAATTTTCGTTTTGAATTGGTATAAAGAACGTATAAAGTTTATATCGTCACTAACCTATCTTCTAAAAGCTCTTCCCTGGCCAAAATTAAGCTGTTCAATATAGCAACACTGCCCTCAAATAGAATAAAGAAAGATTGCCAGGTAGTCTCACATCGTGCGTGTACAGTGTTTCGGCCGAGTAAATAGTGTATCAGCTGTTGTAGTTCGAAGACGGCATCCATGAATTTATAGTCAAGGGAAATCTGAAATAAAGAAAATAATTTTTAACACATTTTTTTTTGCTGATTGTATATTTTGTTGTATGGAGGAACACAAGGTGGAGGGATATATGAGGCTGCTAGAGACAGAGTAGCCTAACCGCAATTTTATGAGTTGAGTTGTTTTTAAAGTCTACAAATTTTTTTATCTACAAATGCACAGTAATAGAAAAAAAGTGTTAACAAATAATATTTACACAAATAATACTGCAAATTCCTCCTTATTGAAAATCATGTTTTTGTAATTAGGCCACTCTTTCTAGCAGCCTCATATCATAATATAAGGGTTATTATCAAAGTTGATTGAGGGTTAAAAAAATCTTAAAATGTGTCTTAGGCAAATCTAAATTAAACCTAATTTTTACTAAGGCTAATCTTAATAACAAGAACTGAAAATTAAAAGTCTTACACCTGACTTAACCTGAAAGGAAAAGGATTTCTTACTTTTTAGAAAGTTATTTAACCCAGATAGAATAGAGAATAGAAATGTAACTCTTTCTTAATGAAAAAAAAAACTCATATAATTATGAAAAGATACCCACTTTTTTGGCCTCCAAAATTAGTTCAGCCAATATTTCTAAGTCTATTTTTATCAATGTACATATGGGGTCCTCAATTTTTACCACACATGAGCCATGATCACCATTTTTAATTCCTTCCCCACTGCAGTAATGTTGCTGTATCCAGGATCGCAAACTTGTAATAACCCTAAATACGAATTTTTTGAAATTGCTACATTTAGCTTCAGGTACATATGAACTCAAAATATTTTGACACAAACATTTCAAGACATTGTGTTTCGTTACTTGTGCGGAAATTGTTTCTTCAGTTTTGAGCAGAACTGATGGCGCCTGCAAGAGGATGATTGAGTTTTATTAACTAACTAGAGTAGGGTACTATATAACTCAAAAATCGAAAATAAATTGAAAAAATTCTCAACTCGGGCAGGACTTGAACCGGCATCGTCAGCGTTCCGTGCTGTTGCTCTCGGTCGTCACAGCACCGAACGCTGACGATGCCGGTTCTAAGCCTGCCCGAGACGAGAATTAAATTATATAGTGCCTTCATGTGCAATAACATGTAAAAATTATTTGTTTTCAAGGCTAGTTAATTGTTTATGGTCGAAAATAATTTTTTTTAAGCTTTACGAGAGCAAATGTTCGACATATAATGAAAGTACATAGAAATCTAACAACGGTGTGAGCAGCGATCCTTTAAGGTTCGCAGATAATGAGGACTGATCAGGAATAGATAATTCTAGCTGTGTCAGCGACTTCGCCGCGTAGAATAGTTTCTCAGCGTACGCATCAGAAACCCACAGAGATAAAAATATTCCCCCGTTTTGTTCACATTTTCCACTGTATCGTCGCTTTTATTATTCACAGAGCGATGTTTTTTAGCCTATAGCCTTCCTGGATTAATGTTCTTACAAACACGAAAATAATTTTTCAATTCGAACCCGCAGTTCCTGAGATTAGCGCGTTCAAACAAACAAACAAACCAACTCTTCAGCTTTATATATTAGTATAGATTATTAAAATTATTATTGTTGTAATAAAACCCACCTTAAGAATACTCAAACTGTTCAAGTCAGCAACAAAATTGTTAACAAAGATTTCCATGGATGCCAGTTGCGATAAGAATTTTATTGTAACACCAATGTTTTCTAAGCAGCTGATACTTTTCTTCTTTTGGTTCTGGTCAAATATAATAAATAAACGCTTTTCGACGGTTTTCCATATTTTTAAAAGTACTTCATCCTTATTTTTAAATAGATCATGACTTTCAAGTTTTTTAAAGTGTCTTAAAACCACATTAATAAGGTGGATTGATGTGTCGACGTGAAGAGCTTTTGTTTCAGAATTTTCTATAAAATGTATCTGAAATATTAAGGTTTTAAATGTTAGACAAATGGTTAAACGTATTGCCTAGCATTGCGTATAGCGCGAGGGGTCCTGGGTTCGAATCCCAGGGAAACAAAAAAAAATTGTTTCGGTAGGGCAGGGCGCAGATGTCTGATCAACTGCTTGCCTTTTAAAAGAACGGATCAATAAAACGGGCACAGAAATGTGTTCGCCCCGTACCCCACGAAGGGGAAACGGGCTCTCACTTGTCAACATTGAAATATAAATATTTATCAAGAAATAGAATTTTCTAACTAAATAAATTTTAGTACTCACAGCATTATGTATGAAGAATTCTAGACCAGACCATAAGCTTTTTATACCTGCTTCGTCATTACTTTCACAACATTTAGATAATACTAAAGCATAAGTCCCCATAGCGTTTAGTATTGACATACTATTATCTGTTATTATGCTTTCATCCGCATTCATAGAGTTAGCAGAACTGGGAAGGATGCTGCCAAAATCAATACTCTTAAATGATTCCAACAAGGCTGCATTTAAACTTTCATAAATGTCGGCTAAATTTGATTTATATAGAGCTGGTGAGATACTTTTCTTCTCTTTAGCTATGAGAGGCACAATTATACAGATAATCTGGAATACATCACTACAAAAGTGATCCATACTGCCTAGTTCGATCTTTTTGTAGTTATCTAGAAGCAAGTCAACGATTGCTCTTATAAAACTGGGATCATTTCTCACTTTTCTTGTTGCCGATTCAAGTATTTCCCTTATTATCAATGTGTGGTTTGTTGATCTTGCTGTCATTTTCAATAGTTTTAAAATCCCATTCTCGAAGTTGAACAGAAAAGGGACGGATAATAATTTTAACACATCAGGCCTCTTAGGACTCACTTCAAATATACTCTGTAAGATAAAATCTATGCTTCGTTTAATTTTTTTTACACTGCTGCATTTTTTTAATAGAAGCAAAACAAAAATAGCCTTCAATTGACTACTTTCATTTAAATAGTAAATCTTTAAAACTCTCATCACATCCAAGTATTTTATGATATCGTCATCATTTTCTGAGTTCACTGCTATTGTATCAAAATACTGCATTAGATCAATGTCTTTTACAAACTGTTCAATTTCAAACTCGCCCTTTCCAACATATTTTGTTAAGGGTCCAACATTATCAAGATTCTTTGTTATATTTTTCAGTACTTCAGTAAGAAGTGCACTGAGTAATTCACTGTTGCTGGCCACACAGGCGTTTTGAAGTAGGTCCGGATCACTTTCGTGCATCTTTAATAGGTTTTTAGCAATAAGTTTCAGTTGTTTTTTATCAGCTTTTGAAAATAACGTTCCTGCATAATAACTACTGATCATAGCTTTAGCGTTAATTAAATGTTTAATTAAGTGGTCTTTCGTATTATATATGGTTTGTGTTATTTCATCTGTTTGGGATGTCATCGATAGATCCATAACTATAATTTTGGCTAAGATTAAATTATTCTGAAATGAAATGGTTATAGTTAAATTGTAATGCAGAGCAGTAAACTGTAGATTAATTCATTAATCAATTATATTAATACTTACAAGTATTAAAACACCATTCTCATCAGAAATTTTACTTGTTATTTCCCGCCACTGTTTTGCATTTAAACATGGCAACACCGAACTTAAGTCAGTCACCTCTTCAGTGTGTAAATTCTCATTACATTGTAATTTGATGTTGCTATATTTAAGGTTCAATATTTTCATTTGTAAGAACCTTAAGCAGAGGTTTAGGAATGCTTGAATTAAAGTGGGTCTCTGAAAATATAAGCATGAAATAATGTATATAAATCATACTAAGAAGCCGCCTCTGTAGCCAAATGGTTAAACGTATTGCCTAGCATTGCGTTAAGCGTGAGCAGTCCTGGGTTTGAATCCCAGAGAAACATAAAATTGTTTCAGGCAGGTAGGGCACAGGAGCCTGATCAACTAGTTGCCTGTTTAAAGAACGAATCAGTGAAACGGACACAGAAATGTGTTCGCCTCATGCCACACGAGGGGGAGACGGGTTTTCCAGTACTAAGAAGAAGACCTGATACTAGAAATATTACTTTTTTTATTAAGGTTAACTAGTATTAGTGTAAATTATAAAATTTGCCTTTATACATACATCATCTAAGTTCAAGAGAATTTCTCCAAATTTCTTCAGTGTATTCTCAAAGTTTTGGTAAGCAGGCCAAAAGTCTTCACTAATCGGCAATGGGACAGAGTGGTCTGCCATTTTGTTGTGAGAAAGAAAACTTGATATAACATTTGCAAGTAATTCAGCAAGTGTAACTAGAGACACATCTGAAATATTACAAAATTATATATATAGCACACAAAATTGTGCTGTCTGTATTTACTGGAGAGATTAATATTGTTATATTTTACACTTTATAAAAATTTACAGAAATTACATAAATCGAAAATAAATCGACTCGGGCAGGACTTGAACCGGCGTCATCAGCGTTCAGTGCTGTTGCTCTACCAATTGAATAATAAAGTGCCTTCATGTGCAATAACATGTACAAAATAATAAAGTTTTCAGAATAAATCCTTAATAGTTCCTTGTGTTGGCATTACTTTCAAGCCGAGCCCAAAAATGTATGTTGTCAGATGTTGTTATATTTTAAAGCTTATAATATAACCGGCCAGGGAGTAAAGTTTCAACTAATTACTAACCAAACGGTCTAGTCTATTGGTAACAATTGAAAGGCCATGGGTTCTATCTTCACTGGGTCCCATGTTTCCCAGTTTACATTATTATATTTTCTGAAACATGTTAGACTTTGTCTAATAACTAACCACCATCCACAGTACCTTCCTTCTAAGGACTTTACGTTTGCCTGTATCAGACCAGTTTGTCTCTTGCATGATAATTGATAAGTATAAACTTACTGTCATGTTCTTCTTGAAGGGATGTCAAGCATTCATCTAAATCATTTTGCAGTAGAACTAATAATTCTTTGTTTTGTCTGAACATTAACTCTGAAGTCAGCATTCCATACAACTCCAGACATGTGTCAGGGAAAATATTCTTAACATCTACTTTATTAAGATCAGCACTTTCTAAACTGCTTTTCAGTGCTGGTATGAGAATATGAATTAAATTTATTCCCTTACTCAGTTTGAATAATGTATGAAGAAGTATGTTTAGCATTTCTATATATATTTCTAACGTAGATGTACTTTTTCTAGATATCATGATTGAGGGTAAAATTTCTTTCATTATTGGTTCAACTAAACTTGGATCTAACTTTAATGCCGACTTTATTATGTGAAATGAAGTTTTATCCAGCTTTCCTTCGACTTTGACAGTTCCCGTTAAGAGATCCTGCAGGAATAGAATGAAGGTTTTCTTGGTTTCCTTTGACTTCTCATTTAATGTATCACGTAAGTGGACACTTATATCCGCTTCATTTTCCAACAAAATGTCCAGCATGTTCAGAAATATATTCCTCTTAATTTTTGTGCTATTCCCTTCAAATGCTATTGGTGTAAGTTTAGTTACGGTTTTGATATAGTCTTGGCTCAAATCAATGAAATTAACAGCAATGATGTACAATGCAAAAATTAACTGGCTGTCACTTTTAAAGCAGCATACAAACACTTTTATAAAATCTGATAAAAACTGTTGGTCCCTTTTTGGATTTAAAAATGCATTAATTACTTTTATAACTGAATTCATGTTGTCATTTTTTTCCACTTGCAAACTGTCAAGTTCATCTTTTCTTATCATATTATTCAGGTACCGAGCATAGAAAGGTCTTTTATTTATGGGAAATAGAATGCTACTACAAAGATTTATAACACTTGCCCTGCTATCTGTGTTTAAGAAAAGGAACACTGTTTCTAAATTGTCTTCTTCAATAAGTTTGTTGAGGAAGTCAATTTTTTTCTTACAATCTCTGTATTGTTTAGTAATATTATCTAGTAATTTATTCACTAATTGCACACTATTTGCTTCATTTGATAAATTATGTAGCAACGTCATAGATATGGAGAGAAAGTCTTCTATTTGAATGGATAGCTGGGCAGATATTTTACTATTCTCAATGAAAGCTGCAATATCTTGAATGTCTTCATGTTTTAAAATATTATTGTGAAGGTACTGAGAAACAACCTGAAAATTACAGGAATAAGGGTTAGTGAATTATTCTTAGGGTTCATTTGCTAGTTTAGTTTGATTAGAGAAGTTCCTTTTGTAGTTTTAGTATAATAGTTCTTTACTAGACCTGAACCGTTACCAGCACTTACTTTAACATAATGTATGTATTTTTATGTTTATGAAAAACTACTTACTCCAATAAGTTTGTACTTTAATTCCACAGTGAAATCATCTACATTGTTGATCCATTTCAATATTTCTTTTAAGTTATAATTTGATATCTTATTGATACTTGTCAGTTCGCCTAACCATTCTCCAATAATCCTTTCTTTAGGTGTTGTTGGAAAGTGATGGGAGTGTATGACATTCTTGGCGAGACAAAATCTTTTGGATAGAGGCAAGGATTCATCTTCTAGGCGCCGCTTAAGTTCTGTCAAAGTACAAGTTTACAAACTATAATATGAGTACTTGCAGTATAAATTCTAGGTACAGAATAATATAAACAAAGTTTAATGATTATTTTATTTGATGTAGCCACCATTGCTTGTAATAATTATGACTGGTTAGTGGAAGCACTTTGATATAACCATGATAATAACTGTTCAGAAAAGAGATAAGGCAGTGAATAATAAATAATAAGGTAAAACAGTGCAAGTTGAGAGGTTATAAGTTTAAATTATATTTACCATTTAATGGATGAGTCATTTCAACACACTAAAATATTTTGAGTCCTGTTTAAGGACAGCAACATTTATTTTATATAACACTTTATTTCATCAAAGATGCACTAGGCAGGTTTTTCGGTAAATGTGTTTTAAAAATATGGATTACTTTCACATGCGCATGGCACTTGTCAGGGTTTTGTTATGGTTTGTATGCTGTCAATTGTCAATTGTCAAGTTGATGTAAAATTCATTGTTTTGTGCCAAAGTTTAAATTTTAATAAAGTATGCGGTAAGGATTTATAGTATTTTTCTTTCATTATATGAGTAAAAGCTCCTATAGCGATTTAGTTTTTTTTAGTAATAAGTAAAAAATAATAATCTTGCGTCAGGACACTGCTGCGTGGCTAGCAAAATTATTCCCTTGCCATAATAAAAAATGTACAATGTTAATATTCAAGATTTCCCTTCTGTCTGCATTACCCGGTATCTTGTAATTTAACCTTTAGATGCTTGATGATTTATGCTTCATTGAAAGTTAAACACCAGAAATTATATAACTAGCCTTTATCACAGTAGGAGATATGGATATGACGATTAACTACCTTTGATGGCTTCTCTAAATAAGATGCCCTATCCATACTGTCCTAGGAATCTGATTAGATAGAAATCTAATTCCTACCGTTTCTGTTGATTCCTTACTATTCCTTTTGTGAACGATATAATACATACTATAAATATATTATGGTCGACTCGCGTCGATCCGCAAAAGTGCAAACTACCCTTTGTTAAACGCAATGTTTTCGAAATAGCACGATACCCACACTAAACTAGCAAACTTCGTTAATTATAATAAGTAGTAATTATTAAAGAACAATCTTATAACATCTGCATAGCATCTCCAAAAGGCATTAGTATTCATCAATCATTGGCGTAATTAAAAATAAATTTACAGCATTTTATAAACAAAATCTATTTACATTGAAACTAAATCGAAACATGGGCAGGACGTGAACCGGAACCCCCAGAGATTCGTGGTGTTGCTCTATTGAATTGAATTACGGTGCTGTTTTGGAGGCGAGTTCCAGTCCCGCTCGCGTCTTCGAATTTTTTCAAGAAAAGAATTTTAAATTTTTATTACACACCAACATTGCAGTATCGAAAGCTTTAACTGCGTTTGTATGAAATGTTTTTAAGAGCGCTGATATCTCATTTATGCAAGTTGACCCTGATTCTATATAGGTCATTGAAAATCGCTAGGTATACGTGTAGCCACAGGTCAGGGTCATCGGAAACAAGGAAATTACGGACTAGAGGGTCTATGAAAATTTGTGTCCTTTTTCCAATTATGCTTTAAGAACTTTTTAGATAAAATTATGTAATATTGAATAATTATATCTCATTAGACAGATGGAGCCAAATAAAAATTCGTACATGATTTATTCTAATTTCTATATACATTTTATACTAACAAGAATCCAGTAATTAATATTTCGTCCATATTCTAAACCCTTGGTCATCATAAAGAGTCTCTATTGTGAAAACAAACTTAAAAAAAAAATTATAATGTAGAACTGTATTAAAATGGTTCAATTTGGAAGTACGTAATTGTGACTATAAATATTATTTATTATTAATGAATATTATATTTTTGTTTAACCATGCGCTGAATTTCAGAGTTACAATTGTATAGAGTTTATATTTGAATTGTAATCTAAAAATAAACAATTGAATGAACGCAGGTGTTCATTCATGAAAAATGTCCGCCATTTCGTGATGGTTGGAATTAAAGATGTCCGTAACAGGATATAGGCCAAGGCGACGAGGGCGCATGCGCCCGGCCATCGATTTTCCCCTGACGTCACAAAATGTCTGCTCTACCCCCGCTATCGTTTGTAGACAGCCTTTAAATACAAGATTCTCTGTCACATTTTCACCCAAATGGGTAGCACATGTAACATAGTTTGTTAGCGATAGCATAATTTTAGTTTTATATAACAACGTTGATAATATTCTGTGGTTGGCATGATTCGTACGCCGTTCAGTTTGTCCGCAAATGAATTCACGATGTGTTTCCTAAAGAAGTTTGTGTGCTTTCGTGAGTATATCTTTTATTAACGACTTATTTCTTTTCGTCATACTAATCTCCAATACGTCTTTTGCTTATGATAATAAAAGTAACTAATTGATAGATATTTCTTTGCTTTCGCTTCATCCCTTTTCATAGTGTCATATGAAAACATTAAGAAATGCAATCAACAAAAATTAATAAAAAGAATCCAAACAAAACGACACTTGTATTAGAATTTATTTTCTTTAAAGAAGTAGGATTTTTAAAAATAGGAACTTAACAATTTTTATCACTTCTTTACCGTCTAAAAAGGTCGTATGTCGACCGTATCTAGCATATACGGTCGACATACGACCTCCTTTTTAGATTAGCTTCATTCTGTTTGTTCGCGGATACGTTCGTCTTGTATGAAGCGATTTAGATGATTCTTTTGTTATTAGAACTTACAAAAATCGTAAAGGTTGCTGGTGTGTTTTTAATTGTTTCGTTCAGTATTTTCCATCAGTACTATTTAATTAAGCTCTGCAGTCGATCTGGTAATAGAGAGGTAGTCGAAGGAACTCCTCAAGGGTTAACAGCATTGTAGTTAAGAACTTTATACTTAGGTACATGTGTTGTGACGGGATGGGATGTGCGTGGGATGACCAGATTTTAGGGAACTTTTCAACTCTTTAGAGTAGCTACCTTGTGTTTGAATTGATTTATATTGATGTAAAATTATAAAGAAATATATATTTTTTAAATAACCGACTTCGAACAGTAATGTAAAAAGATATAAATAAATTAACGTACTAAGTAATAAGTGTTTGGTTCTGTTAAATAGAAATGATTTTGAATTCGGTGTCAATTAAAAAAATACTGGATACAGTGAACAAGTGTAATTATCACACATAAAAAATGTTGTTCATAACTCGGTAGTTTAGTATATACAATTAGTAAATATATTTCCTCTTGACATATTATGTCACTCATAAGCTCTTCGAGATATTGCACATTTTTCTTTACTCAACACAACCACATCCTTTATAATGTAAGTAATAACAAAAAGTATATATTATTTGCAAATAAAAATATCTTAATTTATCTGTAAAATCCATGGTTTTTATAGCCGTTGTAAGAATTGCTTAAAAGCATCTACTAAAAATAACATGCTTACAAATTATTAGTTATGTGCAGAAATTTCACATTTAGCACAAATTTATTTTTTTATTAAAATAGCACAGTGGGGTTACGTCACTATCATTCATAATCACTAATTTTACGCTTCTATTTTCGTCAGCACGCCCACGCTAAATCTATCAATAACTTACGTAAGCCAAAAGATTTAGCTATTAGCCCAATATTGATTCTATCTGTCAAAACTTGACGCAGTAAGTAAAGACAATAGGGGAGAATGCTTATCCCTGTTACAAAGAGATGCTTAGATCCACTTTCTACGGGTCACAAGCACCATCCATAGATGGAACGGCCGTGAAGTTTTATCGCGTTTCTGTTTCAATCTGTGGATTTCCAAATATCCAATACCAAAACAGGTCGACAATGCTTCTTGTTGGAATGTTATCAAGTGAACTATGCTTGTCTGTCATCCTCTATTATAAAAAAAAATACGTCGTGATTCGTAGATCCGCGATTCTTCATCTGTCTTTGGATTCACAATTATCTATAGCCAAGAATAGGTGGACAGTGAATCTTGTTTAGATATTATATAACTGGGGTAGCGCATCTTGTACCAAGTGACACCATGTTGGTCTGTTTTTAATGATAGTGAAGGACAGACAAACATGGGGTTCCCTTGATGGTAAGCGAAATATCTCAAAGATCCATCTAATCTAGATGCGCTGTCGTCCTTTTTACGCTTTGGGCATTCGGAAATCCACACCAAAACCGAAACGCGATAACTTCACGACTATTTCATCTGTGGACGGTGGTTCGTGACCCAGAGGGAAATTTTATATTCCTACCACCCATTCAATATGCAGATGTCCAGGTGAAGTAAAACATATTTCAGAAAAATTATAAATAGATTAGACACATCGTGGTCCCGGGTGGGGATCGACCATGATGTGTCTAATTGATTATTAGCCATAACTAAGCCAACGAGTCTGTCAAATCTGTCTTTGTCCTTCATAAAATTCTACTTAAATTAGCTACAAATTCGTGTTAAGCACGTAACTATATACTTAGCAATTCTCACTTGCTGTTCCTTTGGTTAGATCAATTAGAAAAGTTGGGAACGTGACTGAAAGTCTAAACGAAACGAGGGATGTACGGAATAACGAATTTAGTATTCTAGAGAGCTCTAGTACTTAATTACGTTGTCTTAATGTATAGTAATATGTTTTAATAGATATATAAAATAAAAGTAACTAAGTGAATATTATATAATTTATTCTTTTTTTATAAAAGGGTCTTTTATTTGCATCTGAAATATCTTTTGATTAAACTTAATAACTTGGTACAGTAAACAATAATATTATACTGAAACAAACCGACTAATAATGCATATGTGTTTTAATTCGTACAAGTCCAATATACAATAATGATATAATACTTTAAAGTCAAATAAAAAACATGAAGGTTTTTTTTATTGTTGTCGCCCTATTATGGCTCTGAATATTCAAAGATTTAGTACCTAATTCTTTTTCAGTACTAGTTAACAAGTGGCATTAGCCCATGCTAGTCACGTGCTTCCTATGTTAAACCTTATAAACAAAGTTGTATTCTCTCTTTTTTCATATGATAGAGAGAGAAAGACATGTTTTTTTTTGTCTTTGGATATTCGGAAATTCACAGACTGAATGCGAAACGCAATTAAACTCACTGCTTTTTCATCTCTGGACGTGACGAGATTTCGATATTGGCACCACTTATTCCCGATAATATCGAGATTTCCAACATTCAACACGTTTTAAAAAATTGATTAGAAAGAATAAGAAACAATATGCCGGTGTCAGTGTTTTGTAGCTGAGTTTAGCTCGTCTGCGGTAACCCTAACTGTTCAAATAATGCTATCATTATGCGTCGTTTCCATTATATTTTGTGACATTTGTTTAAGCCCCTTCATTTGTCTTGTCACACCTAAAAAAGTGAGGTTATATTATACAATGTAAGATATACTCAAAGGTACTAACGTCGATAGTTGACAGTTGCCTCTTCATAAAGTGAGCCTTTCTGTTCTATCATAAAAAAACCCAAAATGACACTAAAGAAAAGAATATGCCGGATAAAGTGATCAGTGAAACAGCCACAGAAATGTGTCTGCTCCATTCAGCAGATATCTGGTGGACCCACTAGCCAGTGCCGTTGACGTGAAGTCCGATTACGAAACAAAATTGGCAATCTAAAACTTTATGAATGAACGATTTTAATAGTTCGCCTGACTGGTTTGTGCGGATCGCGTTTTGTGTATTTTTAACTGACTTTAAAAAGGAGGTTTTCAATTCGGCTTATATATGTTTTATTCAAGCCAGTTATTCGCTTGGTCCTACACTCATTGCTATATGGTTAAGTACTAATTTGATTACAGCTCAGTTCCGTATCTGAAGATTTTAATCTACACTCCTGGATTGACTCGAAGGTGGCTAGTTACGATAGCGTTGAGTAAATAATATAAGAAACCTTTTTTTTAATAAAACACTTAACGATTTAAAACATAAGTTTAAAATAATAAGATACGTCGCGTTGCTTTCACAGGTCAAGGGGAGGGTTAATTAAATTACGGAACCGTTAGTGTCTTGTTGAAGTTATAAGATTTAACTAAATTTGGTAACACAAGAGAATGACACTTTAATCTTATCTGCTTTAGTCATAGCAAAACATCGTACTTATATTACCGAAAAGCCAATAATGCTATCGTAAAAATGGAATCTATAAAAATGTATATTAATGTGGTATTTTTTTGGCAGTAATGGTGGCAGTCTGTTCAGTACACAGTCTGCAGTTGGACAGCCAGGCTTCAACACGACGCCCTAGAATCACCAAGTACAGTAAAACTACTCTTACACCAGGATCTACGGTAAACTTAAATAACATTATAAATCTTTAATATTTTTTTTGTTTAAATTTCTTATATTCAATTATTTTCACAATTCTTTTTATAATTAGGGGGACCGGAAAAAAATGGGTTTTTTTTTCTTTAAAAAAAAAACCCATCTTTTTTTTCGGGGTTTTTTTTTTTTTTTTTTTTTTTTTTCCCCCCCTTTTTTTTTTTTTTTTTTTTTTTCTAGATCGTTGAATTTTCTTTTTTTGTTTTTTTGAGATGGATTTTGGATATCATCCAAATTTGCAAATTTAAAGGGTTGGGGGCGCGGGAGTAGTTCTCCCCCCCCCCGCCCCCCCCCCCCGGTTTTTGGTGTGTGTCCCCCCCCCCCCCCCCCCCCCCCCTTTTTTTTTTTTTTTTTTCCCTTCGGGGGGGGGGTTTTTGCTTTTTCTTGTGGGGGGCCGCCCCCTTTCCGCTTGCCCCCCCCCGCCCCCTTTTCCCTTCCCCTTTTTTTCCCCCCCCGGTTTTTTTCCGCTGGGGGGGGCGGCGCCCCCCTTTCCCCCCCTTTCCCTCCTTCCCCCTCCACCACCCCCCCCCCTCCCCCCCCCCCCCCCCACCCTTTTTTTTGTGGGGGGCCCCCCCCCCCTCCCCCCCGGCGGGGCTTTCCCGCGGGGGCCCCCCCCCCCCTTTCGCGCTCCCCCCCCCCCCCCCCCCCCCCTCCCCCCTCCCCCCCCCCCCCCCCCCCCCCCCCCTTTTTTCTGTGCGCCCCCCGCCCCCTCTCCTCCGTCTGTTCCCTCTCTTCCCTTCCCCCCCCCCCCCCCCCCCCCCCCCCCCCCCCCCCCCTCCTCTCCCCCCCCCCCCCCCCTCCTCCTGGCCCCCCGCCCCCGGCCCCCCGGGCCCCCCCCGCCCCTTCCCCCCCCCCCCCCCCCCCCCCCCCCCCCCCCCCCCCCCCCCCCCCCCCCCCCCGCCCCCCCCCCCCCCCCCCCCCCCCGCTTTTTTTTTTTTTTTTTTTTTTTTTTTTTTTTTTTTCCATCTTTTTCGGGTTTTTTTTTTTTGTTTTTCTTTGTTTTTCACAATATCTGTTATTATAACATTTTCATCCGTGTTGTCTGTTGTTTACGCGAGTAGTACACATTTAAATAAAACACTTTAACGGTTTAAAACGCGATATATTTAGTTACCTTGCCTCCCCTTGACAACGGCTGCTGCAAAGCATCCGAAACGTCGGGCCGTAGTTAAAAATCATTATGTTCAAACAAGTGAATTAAAGATTTATAAAATGTATCGCGTTTTTATCCGTTAAAGTGTTTAATTGAAATTTTCATCAGTGTGGTATTTTTTTTTTGTTAAGAAACAGACAGAAAAACAGTACAGCAATTTTTTTAGACCGATTCTAATTGTATCGAAATAGGTTTTATATGAAAAGTTAATTTAAGTCGGTTAATAGAGTTTGGTTTTTCCCATGATTTTTCAGGAGGCTCCAACTGAACGAAGCCTACTGACAGCAACCTATCGTCTGCAAGGTAGTGGAGGGGAAACTTGCATTCTCTTGGTCGTGGACGCTCTGCTGGACATCTCTTACATGACTAAACTGAACGAACGTGCTGTAAGTAGTCATACAACGTAACATAATTTTGGTCAGGCTGAGCACAGACGGCCGATCGACTATTCCCCCCATTTCTCAGTGATGACAAATGTGGTTTTGCTCATTCACTTTTTTTGTCTTTATTTCAGTAGGTTTCCCATTAAAAAAAAAATGTTTTATTTAAAAACATCAAGTTTAAAATGTAATAACGGTAGTTTTATCCTTATGGAAATTAACACAACTAAGGTGAAAATATTTTGTTGTTTATGTGAGTGTTATAAATTAAATACAATTATTTGAACAGTTTAACACGTGATATAATTATGAACGCAAGTCTTCTCGACGTTTTCAAGTTTTTTCACTCCCTATGACCACGGCCTAAACTATGATATCAATGTCACCGTGACACAGTCAGTTTTGTAAGGACCTAGATAATTTCTTCAACTATACTATGACTTTAAAACTACGACGAAACAGATGGCGCTATCGTACCAGTTTTGACTTTGACATTTAGTACTACTATACTATGTTATATGAGTTGCCTAAACTACAGACTTAATTACTTAAAAACATTATGTTTTCTTAGGACGCCAATACTTTTGTCCCCAACAACGCCTTAGTAAGCGGCTCCTGTAAAGATAGCGATGTTGAAACTCTGGTTCTATCTTTTAAGGAATTCGCCTTGGAATGGACATTTGCAAAAGTGAGTACTATACAATATTAATAACTGGAATCATTCATAATTAATCTGCACTAATCTCTAAGATTAACTTGCAACAATAACCATCGTCGTCGGTAACCGGGCAAATGTATAAAGTTGACGAGGAGGTTTGCAAAAAATTAATGCCCGAAATAACTATTCTACGCGGACGAAGTCGCTGACACCTTTATAAAATATTGCAAAAGGTTTAAGTTATAAATATAAGTGAAGTTAAATGCTTTTTTTATAAACATTCTCATTAATACACAATATACATTGTAGACTCCAGGTGGTGAACGCTGGTACGTGGACAGCATCAGATTAACCTACAACTCCAGCGCGAGGATCTTGGAGCACGCGGCCAAACAGGGGCGAAGAGTTAGTCTCACTACTGGGCCTAGGGCGTTGTTGTTTCCCACGCCTGTTGGAAAATCTTTTGACTGTCCCGATGAGTCTATTGTGGAGTTATTGGAGGAGGACGCTAGGTGAGTTGACCTTAATTATATTCGTAATATGTATTCATCATGTTTAATCTCAACAATTAATTAAAATTTACGAAGTGCAAAGCTGCTTAGAACGAGATGTTAATTGTGGTTTTATCATTAAAAGGCACTGCAAAACAAACTTTGGTAAATGATAAACATAAGTTTGAAAACATTAATATTTTTCACATGTTATTGCACATGAAGGCAGTATATAATTTTAAAATCGAAAATAAATTAACAAAAATTTTCGACTCGGGCAGGACTTGAAGCGGCATCGTCAGCGTCAGAGCAACAGCACGGACGCAATTTATTTTCGATTTTTAAATTAAACATACGGTTTCTAAACATATAATGGTTTAACATTTACTTGACGCCCACGTCGAAATTGGGTGAATGATGGAGAAATTCCCTTTACCCCTGATTGTTTTTAGTCAATCTCCATTAATACTTTACTTTTATCTGAATAGCAATTTAAAAAAATGTGTCCACAGCATTGTCCCTCTACAACAAAACCCTCCCTTCCCCTCCATTTTCCCCCCGTATTTTAGACTATCTATATATATAATGCCTCCTGTGCAATAATGTATGGGAAAAAGCAAAAAAGGGCCCCCCACGGGGAAAAAAAAAAAAAACCCCCCCCCAAAAAAAGGTGGGGGTTTTTTTTTTTTGGGGGGGGGCCCCCCCCCCCCCCCCCCCCCCCGGCAAAAAAAAACGTTCCCCCCCCCCCAAAAAAAAAGGTTTTTCCGGGGGGGGGGGGGGGGGGTTTAAAAAATAGAGAGGTTGAAAAAACAAAAAAAAAAAAACCGATCGAAACAAACTATTGTTTTGTCGGGATTAGAACCTAGGTCTTCTTGCGCTTAACGGAATGCTAGGTAACACGCTTATACACTAAATCAAAACACATATTACTTTGTGTGAAGTATTTTTTTTAGTTTACCGTTCGAAGTCCGTTTTTTGCTATTTCTCATACATTATTGCAAATGATGGCATTATATATATTAAAAATTTGATTAGATAAAAAAAAAATACGACACGGGCTGAAATTGTCAGTACAGTACAGTATTGTTGTACAGTGTCAATGCTGTGGTCACATTTTTTTTTAAATTGTGAATCTCCAGATAATACTTACGGCATTGAAAGTAACTATGCCGTCCTGTAGATCCCTAAAGGCTAAGGTAACACGTAATTTATTTTCAGCAACCCGAACACAGCGCACCGCGCTAAGCTCTACCTTCGACAAATGCGTCTTCAACCGTTCATGTTCAAACGAGATGGTGAGTTTGGACCTCCCTGGAAGTGTTCGGATGCGAACAGAACTCGGTCTGAAACAGCCCCCGTCGCTGTCGGGTCAGCTCTAGCCATCGCTACAGCTGGAACTCTAATAGGCTATGCGATTTGGCGATATTTGAAAGTCAAGAAAGTACAATACGACACGATGGAATGAAGGGACTGAAGTCGTCCTGAAATTCTGATATTTTTTATACGAATATTTATTTTTAGTTACCTACCCTCATATTTTCATCAAAATTGATTTTATTATTATTATATTCGTTTGTTATTTTTCGTTTTAAGCCTTTTTTTTATGAATTACGATTTATTTTACTTTTTTTGTTTTTTTTACAGGAATTCACCATTTATAATCAGGACGCATTTGTATATTCGTCTTACCAATTAGATTAGATTCGTGTAAGCGCTTAACAGCACGTCATTATAATATCGTGTACGATTATGTACGATTAGTTTTGAAGATCTCCCATAGGCTTGGGACAACACAGTAAGAATCCCGAGAGATCGCAATAGTGCATCTATTTATGACATGTTAAACGACTATGATATTGTTATAACGTTGATAATGTTATCCGTGAGAGATAAGGCTGCGGTCTCCTATAAACGGCATACGTGGCGTATAGCATAAATATCATTACCCACTGTCTCTAGGAGACACCGATAGCCCGGTGATCAGACCACGTAATTAGCTGATACTTTTACCCAATTCCCGATTATTACACTCGTTACGCCGCTTGCTTAAAAAGTAAGTGCTGTTGTTGTCTCTATCGCACGTTAACGCTAGCGTGTTGTAGAAATAAGCGGCAAGTACTTTTCATCACGACACTAGATTACACACTACACTAGTCGTTGGTCGATCTTAAACAGATTTAGCCGTTCTGAAAACTGTAGAGTTCTGAAAACAGACAAGTAGGACCTAAATAAATCATCTTGACGTGTTGCTATATCTTTGTCTTACGCGATTATAGGAGACCGCAGCCTAAGAGTGACGAAAAATTGAAGCGGAAGTTCATATTCAAATCGTTTTAGCGGCTATTTCGTCAGAGTTATATACATTAAGTACTTAGTGTTTAAAAACGTTGTTGATGGTTGATAATAATGTAAAAATATTTAATCCTCATATTATGTACTCCTGAATTAAAATTAGGATAGTTCTTATGTTGTATTAAAATACTCTTACATTCATTAAACTTGGTTATGGAGATGGTACATACTCATTGTTCTAACACTTCGATATTCTAATACAAAAATACATATACTATATACTAACTAGTATAACATATGTACAATTAAGTATTAGTTTCACATGTCCTACATACTTATATTAGCGAAAAAACTAATGGTGGTTATAAAATCGTACATCAATGCTAAAATTGCAACAAACATTTCATAATTACTTATTGTATTAATGATATAGATGTAGGTAGTTTGTGAACTACCCCCACTTGCGAGTCACCACCGCTACATCTCCCGAAGTACCGACTCAACAATGTCTTGCCCAAATTAATATGTATTTTGTGAATATACTTCTTAATGAAGTATAAAAGATATTTCGTGTGTAAAATGTAGAGAATGAATCTCTACTTGATTAATATATTTCCGTCGTAGATAACTCCAAAACACTGACGTGTATTTTCTCGTTATATACATATCACACGATAATAAATATAATTTAATCGAGGATCGTTTATAGTTAAATATTATTGAAAGTAAGTATGATAAATATAATTTATTTTATAGATTGTTTGCGGTGTAGTTAACACTGAAGATATTACGTGTACAAGCAATAAATACTTTTTTATTCGACGCCGTCGCTGAGACAAAATGGCCGAAATCGATGTTGTATTGTGCGCAAAACTTGGTATCACTAGTGTCTGTAATAAATACTTCAAAACCGCGCTAACTCTTTAATAGTGGCTTATATATTTTTATAGAGGTAGATGTAAGAATATTTTTTACGGTATATTAATAAATATAGATTAAGCACAGATATGGAATAACCTTTTCCGTTTACTATACGTGTAAAATGTGAATCTACCCACTGTAGGTTTATATTTTACAGAATTATAAAACATTTCGTTATGTCCAAATTTGTAACATTCTTTTTGATAAATACCATAATTATTGATACGATATGGTCGCTGTTATTTTATTTGACGAAGAAGCAGGCCTCCTTGATGATTTAGGGTCGGGTCTCTGAAAGGACAATTCAAGAGTACTCGGTAAACTATTTTTGTTCAAAGTAACGAGTACAAAATACAAATGACTTATAATTCCACAAACAAGAGGAAATTGTTAAATCGATAAAGTACTTTTTTTTCTTAGTCGTGTGTATTTTCATTACCAGCCAGTTGTATTTTTGTAACCGGCCAGTTAAATTGGTTGTATTCGCGCCAATATATACATAGCCTTGTTTTAATATAATGTTATATGTATAACGCCTAATTTATCTACCTCTATTAACTTCCAATTTTGTATCATACTGATTTGTGTACATGTTTTGGGTCTGTATTTAGATATCGTGTTAAATAGGTTTCGATTGATAAGATATATTTTACATATTATTATAGATTATGCGACAGAGGGTGATATCTGTATTTCTTCTGTGAACGCAATTAAGGTAAAAACAATGGGTTGTCGTTATTACGAAAGTATGATCTGTAGCTTTTATACTTTTGTTTAATGACACTAGTTGTACACTAGTCACCAAGTTTTGCTAGTTAAGGTTTGCTGTGTGTAACGCTTGAAGTGAAGGCTATTTCTTTAACTTATACTCATCAATTACTATAACATATCGTTTATAATTAAATAAGTTGTATGTTAATATTTACGAATCTCGATAGCTTCTCCATCTCAATCTTGAAGTTCGAAGAGATCGGATTAGTGAGTTAGTTGGTATGTACTTCTTTCTACGCTTAGTGCTGTAAAAACGCTTTCATTTTTGCTAAATCTCTTGCTTTTGTATTTTTGAATTTTATACAATATGCTCGTCGATTTTATTCGGTGTATCTATCTCTAAACACGTGCCATGTTTTTGTAAACTCTTGCACTATAGTTTCCGATGATATTTAATTCGTTGGTTAAGTAAGTATTTTAATAATACATTCGTATTATAATTATCCCTATTAATATTAGTAATTCAATCAGCTAATGTGAATAGTTGTTGTGTTCAGGTGTATATGTTTTTTTAAACCTTGTACAAGTATGAAAACATACATTGGCCGAGGGATATAAATTAACAGATGAAAAGAATACTTATAAACCCAGTATTTGTATCTGGAGCAACTGAACATATTCTAGAAAGAGATCAATCATTGAATTCAGTCTAAGCTGAGCGTTTCTGAAAAGTTTTCAAGTAGTTAAGATGATGTCTATTTTCCTAATATTTTGTATTGGATTCCAGTAGCTGTCTCCTCGTTAGTTTCTTAGCGTTATACTTACATATCGGTGCATTTATATTAAAAATAAATATTATACTAAAATATTATATGCCATACGATTTGTCTTCCAATAACATTGATCTTAAACAATAGTGTTAAAGTATTGTAGCTTATTATATCGGTGTTGACAGTAAATTGTATAATATAATAATTTCGTTGAATGCCACAGATAATACAAAATATTTACCAATCACGCAAAAAACTAAAGCACACAGTGTCATTTTAATTAAAGTATTTATTAATTTGAAGTAAATAATATGGTCTTGTAACGTGTTATTCAATTTACTGTCATAGTGCAAAAGTGGTGATGTTATGGTTAGAATTATGTTTTTTTTTTATTTACTTTATTACCGTTATTGATTATAAGTTACTTATGAAATCAATGCTGCCAACCTTCAAAAACCAAACTCAACAGATAAACTTGCAATACAATAAAATGTTGCAAACTCTACCAACCTAATGCCAAAAACTATAAGACGATTTTTTCAAACGATTTTTTTTTTTATTATATTCGTTACAGAAAACTGTCACGAATATAATAAAATAAAATATACGTTACTTCATCAACGGTCATTCAAATATTCTATGCAATTATCACTTCTTCAACCAAAAATTAATTTATGTGTTTGTATTATTGGTTTATTCGCAAGTTAAGTCAAACATATTTTGTTATTTGGAATCAATAGAAGTGGTCAAATATAACATGTTATAATCTATAAATTAAGATATCATTTCTTCAAATTAAAATTCTATTCTAAATTATAAAATTCTTGACGTAGCGGGGCTTGATTCGGTATCCACAGCGATCCGTGCTGATCTAACCTCTAACATTTAAGTAAATTTTAAATAATATGAAAATAACTTTACTTGTTATATTTTTTATTAGTATTAAACATAACATACACCACCGATTAATATATAAGTGACATATCTCAAAAAATTGTAATTTAGCGCGTTCATTTATGAAATTACCTTTAATAAATGACGTCGAAATTAATACAGCTTTTATTTTATTTAGTATCGTTTATTTAGGAATTGATACTCATTGTGGTAGTATTTATTTTCAAAATTGCCATCTAGGAGATAAATATTATACAACGATGTCGTATGGTGTGTTCACTGAAGATGGATCTAATGAAAAATATTTTCTACTCAAATAGAATTATGACGATGACAAAACTAAAAGGAATCGTAATTTTCCATTTTATCAAGCAGGTGAGATACAAAACAAGCAGAAGGTACCAACGAAGTTATTAGGTCCCCTGAGGGCTAATTAAAAGATTGGAGAGGGTTGCAAACCCTTATAAGCGGTGTCTGGTGTAATTTTACCACTTAGTTTGTTAGACAAATTTGTTATTGTTGGGTCGGTACCCAACTTATTAACGAATAACTTAAATATAGTAAACTAGCTCGTACCCATTGCTTCGTTCGCATTGAAACACACACCTTTCAAACTGAGACGCAGCAAATTAGTATTGGGACTTCGGTCCTAATGTCCTTTTCAAAGGCGTTGATATCTTGATTTTCATATTATACTTGTATTTATTTCTTTTTATATTATATGTTTTTAGAATAATTAAAAATCGAAAACACGAATCAAAATCGACACGGGCAGGACTTGATACGACACGACACGACAGCGTTCCGTGCTGTGAATCGTCGTATTTTTTTTTCAACTTATAATGAATTTATAATTAATGTAGTGACATCATGTACA